CGACAATATCTATGTGGTTTTTGGAGACCAGGTCTTTCAACAATCTGTTGGAATTCCCATGGGTACCAATTGCGCATGGTTATTAGCAGACCTATTTTTGTATTCATATGAAGAAGAATTTGTTCAAAATCTTATACGTGAAAAGAAGAAAACACTTGCTGTGGCCTTCAACTCGACATTTAGATATATCGACGACGTATTGTCAATTAACAATGGTTATTTCCATTCTTATGTCGATACGATATATCTCGGTGAGCTTAAAATAAAAGATACCGCAGAGTCTGACATATCTGTTTCATACTTGGATATTTTACTAGAAAAGACGTTAATGCTAATCTAACAACCGCTTTATATAAAACGTGATGACTTACTTTTCAATCGTCAACTTCCCTTACTTGTGCAGCAATATATCTTCATCGCCTGCATATGGGTATATATTTCTCAGTTGATTCGATACGCAAGAGCGAGTTAAGTTATTGAAAAACAAATTGATGAAACAAGAATATCAGCAGTCTCGTTTAAAGTCGTAAGTTCTATGGTCGATACAATGATCTTGTCAGCAAATACAATTTATCACTAAGTCAAAAGCTGACTGACGTTTTTCTTACTTATTGTTAGGCCATTATTTACTGAATTGTCGAGGGATTTTTCCGTTATTTACCTATTATGAAAAGGAGCACACGGCGGGTGTGACCGATTGGCAGGGGTTGCTCACTCCTTCATGGCACCTGATCCCACCTCTGATGTTCTAGAAGTCCGTGGTTGCTCTGCTCCAAAATTTTTATTGTTAAAGGGAATTTTGAGCTTGAATACTGTTCGTTATCTCCATATATTTCATTGACAACCGATACAGGTATAACTCATGTCCAAGATCGACAATCGTTACAGTTATTACCCATGATCTCAGATCGAAAATCATTAGAGGTAAACACCATTATCTCAGATCAACAATCGTAACAGGTATACCCCATGTCCTCAGATCGACAATTGGTTGTCTTTAGATTGACAATTGGTACAGGTATAACCCATGCCCTCAGATCAACAATCGTTACAGGTATAACCCATGTCCTCAGATCGACAATCGATACAGGTATAACTCATGTCCTCAGATTGACAATTGGTACAGGTATACGCCTTGTCTTCAGATTGACAATCGTTACAGGTATAACCCATGCCCTCAGATCGACAATCGTTACAGGTATAACCCATGTCCTCAGATCGATAATCTTTACAGGTCTCCTCATGTTCTCAGATTGACAATTGGTACAAGTATACGCCTTGTCTTCAGATTGACAATTGGTACAGATATACCCGTCGTCATTATGATCTTGTCAACAAATTTAATCTCTCATTGGCTGACATGTTTCATAACAAATTATTAGGCCTTTAATTGTTTTTTTTTTACTAAATTTGACTACGGAATGTTCTGTCTATCTGATCAATACATAGGACTTACTGCGGGTGTGACCGGTCAACAGGGGATGCTTACTCCTCCTAGGCACCTGATCCCAACTCTGGAATTTCCAGGTATCCGTGTTTTATGCCCTGATCACGGATTCATATTGTTTGTAGTTTTTTTTTTAGATCAATCTCTGTTCGTTATTTTCACCTTTTTCATTTTGACAGTAGAAGTCAGTGATCTGAGGCTCATCTTTGTTTTACTTTAAGGTCTTGCAAGCTTCTCCTGAATCCTTTTTTTTTTGTAGTGGCATACCACTGCCTGATGATATAGTTCGTGCATTTGTGGGCAGCCTTCGATCTAAGCAGTGATAATTCTTTCATTGATTGGTTCCTATCCACTGAGTGACGTCTGATCTTTCTTGACATCATGATTACTTTCAGTCCTGAATAGATAATCAAATCTCCAGATGTCAGTCTTGTTTCTCCAGAGTCTTTCTACCTCGGTTCTGTGATGCCATATGACTCGGTTAAGCACCTCTCCTGGGACAAATAGAAGCATTATACATCTACAGTTGTCACAAATACTGATTCCTTTTTTGGTAGTTTTACAAGGTGGTCTTTCTCTCATTCAGATGATACATATACTTCCTCTTCCTCCCAAATTTTGCCAAAAAAGTCATAAAGCATAATGGCCACAGAATCTAAGTTTTAAGGACTTCGAATTCTGCAGGATGTTGTCTGGTCCTGGAGAATTGTTGTTTTTCAAGAATGATATAGCTTTCTTATTTTTGAGAAGAGTGCCTGAAGTTTATATCTAGTAGAATTACAAAATAGACAGTGAAGTAAACAGCACCGGGAAATTCGATATTGACATAAGAATGGGAATCGGAAATGCCAGACCACTATTTAATATGATGAGCAATATATGGAAAACAAATAAACCATGATGAAGACTAAAACAAGACTCTTCAATTCCAACATGAAAACTATGTTACACTATGAATCAAAAACCTAGAGAACAAGTGAAGCGTCTAGTCTTCATCAACAACTACTTGAGGCGATTAAGCCTGAGAAAATAAGAAATGAGGAATGATAGGAGAGAACAAACCAATCCCAAAAAGAACTTAGATTCGATATACGAAAAAGGAGTTGACAACACTTTTAGAATGCTGAGAAATTCTATACAGCTAAGCACTCCAGTGGAACCCATATGGAAACCGACTGGGGGGGGGGGGGACAAAGAAGGAGTGTTGTACAAAGAGTGAAAAGGGAGGATACGAGTGACACCAACTGAAAGGCTGGGGCAAGACATGAAGAGGTGGAGGGGTGTTGTTAGTGCCCTATGCTCCTCCCTTGATGCAAAAGGCTTACGCAAAAAAACATTAAGAATGCTAGGAAGATGCATGAAACATATGCTGATAATTTTTCGGTGCTTAATTCTGAGGAGACAAAAAGCAAACTTTTTATATATTTATTCTATATTAAAGTATGCCATTTCTGTTTCTTTGTTTCAAGCGTGCTTGAAACAAAGAAACAGAAATAGCATTCTTATTTTTTTTTTTTAATTAAAAAAAAACTTAATATAGGCATCTACCTCTTAATTTTTGGTAATTTTGTATGTTACACCTATTTATTTATTTATTTATTTTTTTTAATTTTTTTTATGTTTTTGCTCTAAACATATATAAATGAATAATTTGCACTACTATCACCTGATAATTTTCATTCAAACAGTTTTAACGTACGTAAGTACGTGTATATTTTATGTCACAAGAAATCACTGCAGGCTAGTGAAAGTCATGCTCGCTGTAGAAAAGGCTTTGTAGACAAAGATTTCAGAATGAGAAATAAACATATTGTTCTAAATATTTATTTAATCCATAAAATTTGAGAACAACACACACATACCATTTTGGAATATTCATTTACATCATGGTCAATCAATACACTATAAAAGAAAATTATAGTTGCTCTATAAGTTTAGTAATATAAATATAAATTTGATTTTTTTTTCTTTACTAAACAAAACAATCCAAGCAGAAAAATAATTTTTAAAATGAAGGGAAAATAATTATGAAGCCCAAAAGATGATAAAATTTCTAAAGGTAATTTAATAGTTTGGTATTTTGAGACATATAAGATTTTTTTTAAATACTTACTTTGCATGGGTTTAGGTAGAGGTGGCATAGGATAGGTAGGTCCAGGGTTTGGCATAGGGTAGTCAGGCATCATAGGTTTCATGGGCCTTGGGTTTGGCATTGGGTAATCAGGCATCATAGGTTTCATTGGCCCTGGGTTTGGCATTGGGTAATCAGGCATCATAGGTTTCATTGGCCCTGGGTTAGGCATAGGGTAGTCAGGCATCATAGGTTTCATCGGCCCTGGGTTTGGCATAGGGTAATCAGGCATCATAGGTTTCATTGGCCCTGGGTTTGGCATTGGGTAATCAGGCATCATAGGTTTCATGGGCCCTGGGTTTGGCATTGGGTAATCAGGCATCATAGGTTTCATGGGCCCTGGGTTTGGCATTGGGTAATCAGGCATCATAGGTTTCATGGGCCCTGGGTATGAAGGCCCAGGGTTTGGCATGGGGTAATCTACCGGCATCATTTTGTTCATCATTGCCATCATCATCAATTTTTTCATATTTATCATATTCATCATGTTGGACATCATATTTCCATTACCTCCACCATTTCCACCTCCGTTACTGGGGCCGTAAACTCCTCCTGCATTGGCACCAAGTATCATGGCGACCAAGCAGACTATGGACGAAATACAAGCCATCTGGAAAACATTTATGAAAACATCATGATAATTATATTAATATACTACTGGACAAAAGTTTCACTTTCCAAGTTTATTCAGCTGTTGAGTGAAACAAATTGCATGATCAACATGGCATTGACGTGCAAAAATTTTATTTGTTAAAATGTATTAACATGTTTTTGATCGAATAACATAAGATGTATGTTTTGAACAATAAGATATTGCATACAATAAAAGATACAATATATGAAAAACGAACAACATCATAATGTCATTTCATCTCAATTCAATCAAACATCATTTTATGTAAAATTCAAACATGCTTTGCTTGTAGTACGAAATAATTATGCGTATCTATCGTATGTATATCCAGTTTTAAGATGCTGTAGAAGAATGAAGAAATTAAACGACCCATTCTTAATTTGATCGAATGAAATATGGATATAACGATCAGCAACCAATCTCAAAAGTTCATTGAAACAATACAAATCGGTATCAAAGCAAACACGGACCTCTAAAAAACATCAGAGGTGGAATCGGGTGCCATGGATGATTAAGCATCCTCTGTCAATAGTCACACCCGCCGTGTGCTCATTGTCATGATTGGGCAAACGGGAAAATATGTAGACAGTTGAGTGTTTAAATAATGGCCTAACAATAAGTATGAAAAACGTCCGTCAGCATTCGACTTAATGTTAGATGGTATTTGCTGACAAAGTCATTGTATCGACCATAGAACTTGCAAAATGATGACTTTAAACGAGGCTGTTGATATCCTTGTTTCATCAACTTGTGTGTCAATAGCTTGCCTCGTTTTAGAAATTGTTCGTACGTGGAGCATGCTCTTGCATTTTGAATCAACTGGGAGATATAAACCTTATATGCAGGTGATAAGGGTATGCTCAGTATTGCTACATAAATAAGTCATCACGTTTGTCTTTAAGTTTTGGTGTTACATTACCATTAACGTCTTTTTCTAGTAAAACATCCAAATATGAAACAGATATGTCAGACTCTGTGGTATCTTTTATTTCAGTTCACTGGGATATATAAAGTCGACAAATGAACGGAAGTAATTATTGTTAATTGATAATAAGTCGTCGATATATCTAAATGACGAGTTGAAGGCCACAGCAAGTGTCTTCTTTTCATGTATACGTTTTATGATAAATCCTGCTTCATATGAATACAAAAATAGGTTTACTAATAACGGGGCGCAATTGGAACCCATGGGAATTTCTACAGATTGTTGTATGACCTGATCGCCAAAAACTATTAAGATATTGTCAATCAGAAACTCAAGCATCTTTTTAATATCTACTTCAGGGTACTTGTGTGTAAAATGAGTTTGTTTCTTCACAAAATAACTTTGCAAATGACCAATGACAAGGTAAGTAAACTTACGAGTTCCATTTTTATTGAAAAAGCAGCTGTCTATGATGTAAAAAAAAAAAAAAACATTTATCGGGGGGAACGGTTGCATAAAGTGTTGAAAAGTCGAACATTCTGATGTTATCAAATTAAAATGTTTTGATACTTTTGTATATTTTTAAAATTAAAAAAATATATATTTGGCAGACAAGTGTGGTATTTTTTTTTTAGCTATATTTCATAGTTATTTCAATTACACGTATTCAATTACAAAATTTAAGGGAAATAGTGATTCTTACCCTTTAAAAAAATTAAACTTCAAAGCGATCTCAAGGAAAGGGGGGATGAAGTAAATTAAAATCGTTTTGACAAGATATTTATGAAATCTTTGATAACCAAAATGCCCGTGTAATGCATGCTATCTTGATGTATTTCATAACATGTCGATTGGTAAGTTTTTTTTTCAAAGAAAATCAAAAATTTGTTTACATGAAAAAACCTTTTGTTTGACTTAGTTACATTGTTGTTAAATACAGCTACGTGATACCGTTCCGACAAATAGATTCATGAAACCTGTTGGACGACCACATTTTTCTGTATTTTGAAACCTGCTTATAGTCGAATTTTTACCTGAAAGAATTTCCGTAATGGTGTTATCCTCATGCTCACGCATTGTTTTTAATACCTGGTAGTATCCATATAGGGCTAGGGCTTATGGGGTTGCAACTGCATTTCAGTTACCTCAATTTTCCCCATGAGATCAAAGATTTGAAAGGAGATGGTTGAACAAGGCGTGCAGAATGCCCATATCTTCAGATATATAAAAATCATATTCAGTTTGTGAATTTAGTATTTACAGTAAAGTTCTCAGTTGAAATTTATGAAATTATGAGTAACAAAACTTATCTGAGAAATTTTTTTTAGGCAAAAATTATTCTGTTATTAAATAATGATGTGGTATTCGTAGGGTTCGAACCCTAGAAATAAAGATCCTGGGTGTCATTTTCCTTTGAGACTAACACCCTAACCACTACGCTACACAACTCCTAATGAATTGTGGCATTTAAACCATATTTGTGATATGACCTTTGACTAAATAGACTTCAAGTATTTCTCGGAAAGATGCGAATGCTTTGTCATGAAAGTGTGTTTTCAAGGTATAGTGGGTTTTTGTTCCATGTTTTTGTAAACCAAAATATGTGTATTTTTACGCAAAAATTTGAGGATAAACTTTCAAAAAAAAATGGTGCGATGACCCACTCATATCGAGAAATTGTTTTATAGTATAAGACAATGATCCTTTTCGCCCTCTTTAGTATGTGTATGCTATTTCATAAGCAAATTATTTCAATCTTTGTGCGATTTTTGCAAATTGTGGAGATTTTACATAAAGTTTACTTTAATGTTAGATGAAATATCAAAAAAAAAATTATAATTGAGATTTAATTTTTCACCTTCATGTTTGTTGCACTATAGGCATTTCGTTCGCCTTGTTCGCCCATCTTCTTTATCATTTCATTCAAATTTTATAAGACAATATATTGAATCAGCTGATATTGTCAGCTATGTCAAGCAAATTTAGATTGTTGATTATTCAGTGCAAATGTCTTTCTTGCCTAAGATTAATAAGATTAGTAACGAAAATATTGCGTTGTTCCGAATGTTATGTTTAAAAACTCTATATTTATAACTTACCTTGTATAGATATAAATATACCTGACTCGGAGTTGACAAAGATACGAGTGTCATTTGGAGCTCCTTGGCTACTTTTATAGAACTCTGAACGTGATCTCTGGTTTTCTCGTGAGGTGACAAAATGTTTCTTTTTCTGGGAAAGCAATAATTTAGGTGGGAAACATTCAAACATGTGATAGATCAAAACATCACTTCAAACACAAAATTAAAATATATGCAAAGTCACCTCCGTGTGTCAGAAAATGGTCATGTTCTCAAATTCGAACATGGACTTAACATCATCTGTTGGTTTGAGGGATGCATGCTGTTTGAATCTAATAAAAGCTATGGGTTTTTTTTTTTAGTCAATGCGATGATTTTGCCCACCTCGAAATACAATTAATATTAACCGAGCACGAACAACTTCACCAGAAAACCCTTATTTAATATTGGTTTTTAAATTAAAAACTCGGATGGGAATATTGAAGCTCAAAATCATTTGAATTTTCTAACTTTATTTTGTTCAAAAGTCTTCATAGCCGTAAACAGATATGACACATAGTCAGAGGTCAGTTTCCACCACTTTTTTCAGATAGCTGTAGATTGATTGATTGATTGATTGTATGTTGTTTTACGTCCCATTCGAGAATTTTTCACTAATGTAGAGACTTCATCATATACCGGTGAAGGGCTTCAAATTTTGACCTTTACTCGGCGCTTAGGGCCATTGAGCATTGAGGGATCTGAATCGTGCCAACGCCTGCCGTGACACGGGACCTCGGTTTTTAAGGTCTCATCCGAAGGACCCGCAACTTTCACTTCAAAGTGCCGAGCGCATTGCGAAGGAAAAGTTAAAAGTTGCTACCCATTTTTTATCGACTTAGGTCAGTCGCGGCCGAGATTCGAAATCACGGAACGAGCGCTCTACCGACTGAGCTACCGTGAACGGTAGATAGCTGTAGATGAGCTTGTGTTTGGTAATGTCTGATTTGTCCGTCCGCCTGTTTGTCTGTTAAAAAAATACCATATCGACATACATGGATCGATCAAATCTTTCCATATCAAACAAAAGCACTTGGTACACAAGAAAACTCTACATCAAGTTACTTAATTCCATCGTCGGATACCCATGGGTGATCTCGTCTTTTGAGTAAAAGACGAGATCACCCATTGGTATCCGACGATGGCTAGATACTGATTTCGATTGAAATCAATATTGCTAAGGTTACTAAATATAGAATAATAATTGAAATTCTTACTTCTCCTACAGTTTGGTATGATTCAATAAAACCTGATACAGAAGTAGGCAGTATTAAAATACTTAATTCTTCATATCGGTTTATGATTTCAATCAAGAAGTTGTCAAGGTTACTTCAAAATAAAACAAAATTTTTCAAACTTCATTCAAAATTTTACTCCCCTTACAGTTTTAGTCTAATTCAAATAAACATTATAGAATACACAAAAAGCCTCCCCAAGATGCATATATTTCTGTTCATCAGATTTTATCATGGTTAATAAAAAAAATAAAATAGTTTTTGAAATTCGTTCAGAATGATCCCCCCCCTCCACGTTTGGTCTAACATAAATAAAACCTCGTATGTACACAATTTGACTACCTCAGTATTCTACGCATGAGGTATTGATTTCAATGAACGACTTATGGTTACTTTCAAAACAGTATGATGTTTGAATTTATTTCAAATGCTACTCTTTCTACAGTTTTGTTCAAGTTTCAGTAAAACTTTCTACATAAGTAAACATAATTCTTGTTATCGCTTACTGATTTTGAACAATAAATGGGTTGTCTTGTTTACAATACATAGAATACGCCGTAATCTATATCTGTATGAAGTGCTACTCCTACTACAGTTTTGGTCTGGCTTTAAGGAGACTTGGTAAAAATTTAGAAAACATCGAAATACAATATTTTTTTTTAATGTAAAAAAAAAAACACCTCAAAATAAGAGGACAAGTCCACGTGTGCAGTATAGCTCAGGTTTCTGGTAACACCCATGTAATACAAAATTAACTTCATCATTCACAAAAATAAGCTGTCATCATAATTTATTTCATAAGAAATTGTTTATATATAAAATGTGATTGAAACTTGTAAAAAAAAAATAATAATGATTTATTTTCCTGAGAATGTTGAACATAATTTTTCCTTAATTTATTTTAACTAGGATAAGACCAGTACTGTGTGTGTGTTAAATTTTAATCAATTTTATCTGAAAGATAAAACAATTAGCCAGCGGATATGACAGAAATGACAAAGTTTAACACAGAATAGGTGTCGGTGAATGGATGTTAGGAGTTACCTAGAACAGTATATATATTGGACAGCTTAGCCACAAATGGTTCAGTTGGCGTCCATTAATTAACCAAAAGTGCGTGTTTTCTCGCACTGATTATTTCTGAAAATAAGGAAAAGTGCGAAATACAGATTCTGCAGACGCCTGGTTTGGTTTAAATATATTTCATTGAACATAATCATTTGGATTGGATACAATTTATTCCAACTTAAATAGTCCTTTCCAGCACTAAGAAAATAAAAATTAAAGACGGGATGTGCAGCAAAGCAATACAAACTTTATAAAGCTGTCACTATGACAGGGGAAAGAGAACAAAAGACATGGTGGAAGTGGTATATATATGGTTACTTGGTTCATCACCTTCTTTTCCACTTTCAATATATTTATGCACGGTTTAAACAATACTTACATTACTTGCTTACAAACAGTATCGTTTTAATATTCTATATCTTTTTTGTTTTTAATACATGTATACTTATGGTATGAAACAATTCTAGTCTTATTTCATAAGAATTTTTAGGGTACCTACAGTTGTGTTCGATGTGTACTTTCTATAGAGTAAAAGCAGAATAAGTAATACTTAAAAAAACCCATTTACAGCCAAAATAAAATTGCAATTTCTTCACCATAACAGTTAACATGTACAATAACATTAATTGCATTGAAATTACGCTTAGAAACCGTTCCAAGTAAAGAACATGTCCTAGCTCAGACACATCTCGAAGTATACTTTATTAAAGTTGCCAATGATCTTTGATCATAGCCTTGAGGACCCCTGCTTTCATGAAAACCAATGTATACACATCAAACCATTAGATTTACTCCTCCGTGGCACCTGATCCCACCTGTGATGTTTTAGAGGTCCGTGTTGCTCTGCTCCTGATTTGTATTGTTTGAATGGACTTTTGATTCTGAATACTGTTTGTTATCCCTAAATTACCAGACATCATCTTCGTTAGGATTAAATATGAAGATAAAGAACCGTAATCAAGCTCAAAGGTCCATCAGAACAGAGCAAACACTGGATAGAACGTTCTATCGTTAAACTGATGATATTTTCCCACGGACCCGGTTAAACGATAAGTGGTGAGGGCTTGTCCTGAAACACAATTAGATGATTCTAACTAAGCAAACACGAACCTCTAAAAACATCAGAGGTATAGGTTCAGGTGCCTTGGAGGAGTAAGCATTCCCTGTCGATCGGGCAAATAAAAAAAAATCCATTGTCAATTCAGTCTGAAATTAATAACTTGACAATTTGTATGGAAAACCTCAGTCAACATTCGACTTAACGATAGATTGTATTTGCTTACAAGGTCATTGTATCGATCATAGAATTTGTGAAATGTTGACTCTTTTAACGAAACCGTTGAAATTCTTGTATCATCAACTTATTTGTCAATGGCTTACCTCGTTTTAGAAATTGTCGTACGTAGAACATGATCTTGCGTATCAAATCAACTGGGATACATAAACTATATGCAGGTGATAATGGTATATTGCTAAATAAATTAAGAGAAGTCGACGATAGAAAAGTTGAAGTCATCATGTTTATCATAAAGTTTTGCTGTTAGTTAGTCATTCCGAGTTCAAAGGGATATATATCGAATCAACATATGAATGAAAATGAATATTGTTAATTGATAAAACGTCTAGTGTCTAAATGTAGAATTGAGGGTCATTTCATCATTTAATACTATTAGTCCCCCGACTTTGACAACTTGGGGGAATAAGCTTTGGACAGTGATAAACAAGAACATGCTCCAATGCGGGACATGGACAATTTAACACACTAGGAAAATTGCAAAAATTCTAGTTGTGCTTTTCACAATTATTATGTCGCATCACTCAGATGATCTACTGATGTTGTCCGTAAACTTTTGAAAAATTTCAGCTTCTTCTCAATTTTGGTATATAGAATTTAATATCATGGTCTCTAACTCATTGGGGCCTGAGGGTTGTGGCCAAAACCATCAAAAAAGTAGGTCATATATTGAAATTATTATGTGTCACATCTTTGAAAATATTTTTTACTCCGCTTTTGGGTATTTCACAGACCAGCTGTATGTGTGATTAAAATAACGACTTAATGAACTTCCAAAATTGTAAAATTCATGACCATGGCTCCTGAGCCCTTAGTTGATGGTGTGGACACTTCAATATTGTTGTTAGATGCCCAATAGTCCCTTGCAATTCGTTATTGGAGTTGGAGTCCCCAATAACGAAGTGCAAGGGATCATGGGCAGTGATGGGACAGGACTAGTTGCCAAAAAGTGTTTCTAAAGTACCATTCACTGCTACTATTGTAACTGTTGCAAAAACTCTATGGCTTGTGAAGGTGAAGACTGAATGATTCAAAGTGCCTCTCCCCAAATGAACTATAAGCAAGAATCCCCCCACCCAAGACACACACAGAGTTGGCAACTTTAAGCCATTTACAATGTATCCACTGAGATGCAATAAATCTCCTATCTGTCTTCAATGAAATAGTTTTAATTTAAAACCATAACTTAATAGCTTTAGTTAGATAAACATTTTATTTTTTATTTTTTTAATGATTCAGAGGCTCAAGCATAGATAATGCATACAATTTTTAATTCATTAAAATGTTAGTATTTTATAGATAATATATACTTGTTAACATTCAATCATATAGGTTTTTTTTAATTATAATTGTTCAGCTAAACTTGATTACACTAAATAAACACTAACAATACAGCTGCACTTTGTGCAAATTTCTTTTCTTAAATACACATACAGTCTGAAATTGACAGCAAAACCTGGTCACAGACTCTAATGGCATGTTTTATTAGTACATATAAGTATTTCTTGAACATCTATCAATACAGTTTATAGTAGATAACATGATATCTTAAAAGTATACTTCCTTTCAAAAGTTTACCCTTATTTGGCCCCTAACCTGGTCCCAAGGACTACCGCGTATATAAAAATAAATTCCAATACACACCATCCGCAAAAAAGTATAGTGCACATTTCACACGCTTATTACCACCATAAAAATGATTGACACATAATGATGTTCATGAGAAATGTTTAGAAAGCATCTAATTTCTGAAGATTATTCCTTGTTCATATGTGGATAATGTAAAAAATACGCTAGACAAGAATAACCTTCATATCAACACAAGAAACCTTGATTTAATCTGAAGAGGAAGAATTTCAGAATACTATCATAGCTTAATATTTGTGTAAAAAGGCATATTACCTGGCATTCAACATACCTAACTTTCAGTAAGATACATGTATTTTGATCTTTGTATTGTTCATAACCTGAATTGCAAGCTTCCAAATAGTGATTGGGTGAAAAAAAAAACAGTTTACAATAGAATTTTCGACTCTTGACATGTAATTCACATGAAGACATATTGACTTCGACAATCCAGAGGATACAGTTGCTACACATCCTCAACATGAAATTGTGTCTGTGGAGTTATAGTGGATTAGCCATAGGAGAAATAAAATTAAATGAATAGACGTATACAAACAAACTGAACAATATATAGTGCCTGCAGGGTGGAGAATGAATAATTACAAATACAACCTACATTATAAATATATATAGAAATTATGAGCATGTGAAAGACAACAAAAGGAAAACAAAATTACAAATAATAAAAATGATCTCATTTACAGAGGAAATCAAACTGATCATAAAGTGTTGCATTTCCCCTAATGAGCTGCAGTATCTATGCAATAGTCATGGTATTATGTGACACATAAAAAGCATTTGTCCAAGCACAACAAAAGGAGATCATCAACATAACTAACAATAACAAAAGTAATTTATCATGAAAAGTAAAAAATTAGTTCAATAAAAACTATAAACTAATTAATATACATCAAAGGGTATAATTATCATATGCTTTTGACTAAGAATTTTCATCTCTAAAGACAGAAAAATAAATCTTGATGAAATACTGATCCATAATTGTGAGGAAAAAAAGAAAAGACAAAAACAATTTTATTCTTCATAATATTAAAACACTTGGACATCAAATATAAATAAACATTGAATTTCTGTAAACATGTTTTTAAGTGTAAAAATAGAAAAAATCATGTTCTCATTGGTTCGAGTTCTGAATCATCAGTGTATTCTATGACCTCATAAGGTGAACACATGGGTAAACCTAACTTATAACACAACCACCCATAAAAACCTTTCTCAAAATCTAAAAACTCTATTTTCCACCTAATAAAAGACCATGAGATTTGAATAAATGCTGCAAATACTGCTATTCCTATAGAGCTCAATCCAACAGTTAGTGGAAAGGTAATGATGAGGAGAGGACAAATGAAGATCTTATGGCACATAGTTCTTTCTTCACTGTAGTATATGTACAAGTTGTACCACGTCCAGGCGCCATAGTAAAAGGCCACAGTTAATGATGGGAAAAAGGCAACTGGGCATAAAAGTACAGTCATCAGGGTTATATGTGGCCCTTTGGTGGCCTTACATAAACTGGAATCATTGGATGAATCTGGATCCATTACTTCAGTGTCCGTGTACTCAATTACTTCCACCTGTTCAGTGTTATCTCCCTTGTGAGATGAAAATCTGACCACAGGAGGTTTTGGCTGTAGAGGATAACTAAGAGTGACTTGATCTTTGTTTCCTGAACTTTCTTTGTTATTTTTGTCTGTAACAGTGTCTTTTATTGTTGTTTGGTCTTCTTCTGTGGGATTGAGAGGTGTATGTTCACTTTCTATGTCTTGGCTCTCTTTATCTATGTTGGATTCTGAAGCCATTGCATATCTACATTAAGAGAAATATAAAATATATACATCCTACTTTAACAGAGGATATCATAACAACAAACACCACTTACATTCAACAGTTTTTTTTTACTTTTAAAATTTTTTGCACATTTAAAATTTGAAGCTCCAAGTAGTGTGATGGTATTGTGAAACAGTGATAATTTTAACTTATAGCGCCAGGTCAATAATATTCAATTTTAATCTTTGGAAGAAATATTTTCCCTGCAAAATTATTAAAATAGTACGGTGGTAAGTTTAAGACACAGATTTTTTTTTCAGAGATACTGGGCAAAAAGTATCTTGTGCACATGAAATATTATCTCATGCACAAGACATATTATATTGTGCACAAGACATGACATACTGTGTGGGCACGACATAATATCTCGAGCGCATGACATTTATAATCTAGTGCGAACATAATATCAAATATGCACAACTAATTATCTCATACGCACGACTTGTTATCTTGTGGGCACATAATATCTTGTGCGCATGACATAATATCTCATGTGCATGACCTTCTTCATCACTGTCACTGGAGAAAATTTTATGCATCTGATTAATAAAGCGTCCGATTATGGCATAAAAAACACTAAGGATGGGGTTTGGGTTAAAGATACTAGTAGAAAAACATCTCCCTGTCAGAGTGCTTGCAAAAAATATGATAGGTAACACTATAATAGTGAGTGCAGTGAGCGGTGCAAAGTGCTGCTCGTCACTGTGAGCTCTTAAAGCAATGCCTGGGCAGAGAAAATTCGGACTTTGCACATTGATCCAAATGAAATTTTTTCCACAGTTAGTTACCTCTAGACCCACAATGCAATACTTGTTGTTCTTGCTGCTAACTTCGTTCTCACGGTAAACTAAAAATTCACAAAAAATAAATTCACCTTAATTTAATGGATATTGCATACAGATAGTAGATTAAACGTTCTTTGTTAAAATGTTGCACTTTTCACACTTCTTTAATGGAAATGCAGCTAACATACGTTGTCATGTGAAATCACAGTCTAGACGTTCCAAATGTCTCGTGCTGTTTGAAGAGACAGATCTTAAAATTAAGTGAACAACTGCGCTCGCCCCAACGGTCGAACCGTCAACATATTTACCTTGAAAATATATCTCGAATCAGGATACCCCTGGTTTCCTTATAAATTTTGCATTTTGTTTACCTTGTGCATTTTTGTTATATCGTGAATGGCCAATCTCTAAACGTAAGGAAAAGTACAAACTGTTCACATAGTACAAAGTACAGATGTGATTGACGGGGAAATCTAATATTTTTGAGAATTTATAGGATCTTGTTTTTCTTCATTAAAAAGGGGGTTATCCACACTTCAGGTGCCTGTGGTTTTCACCTGCACCCCATTGCAAGGGGTCACGGGATTGGTACAGGATTGGCTATGATATATATTTATGGAGGTTAAAACAACATAACTTTAAAGTTACCTGCTATCATTAAGACGGCATTAGGTCATGTACTGCTTCTTTTCCGAGAGTAAAAAAAAGAGAGACAATATGAATAGGTAAATTCGGGAAAAATTTGACGGCAATCAGTGTTTCTCAAATGTTTGAAAAAACATATAATTCGAATGAGAACGTTCTTTGTTCCGGAAAAGGAAGACAAAAATGAAGCATAGAGAGATTCAACTTGTTTTCTTCTTTGTAAGCATGTTTTGATTTATTTTTGGAATTAATTTTTTAAAGACATTTATTAGATATTATTTATTATTTTATTTATGGTTCTTTTTTTTAATTTTTCAGGAGTATTGCCTAAAAAAATTAAAACATTTCTGTGATCGTGATTTTAGTTTGAACTTTCGATCCGAGCCCGGCTGACATCATTTTCCGGTAAGTCAGTGGACTATAATCACTATTTACATACATTGTTATTGTGCACGTTTGTCGCTGAGAATATTGCCTGCTGTTAAACAGTATAGTTCATTGTAAATGATTTGAAATAGATTGCACTGAAGTAAGTGAACTCTTGTTCAAAGTAAATTCATACATGTAGTCTAGTTCGAAACTATGAATTTTACTCACATGACCTAATAAGTTTTGCAATCATTTGAGTAATTGTAATTTGTTAGTTTTAGCTAGTTAATAACTAATAAGTAATGTTCCATGAACGAGAGTCATTACAGCATTTGCTCCCATGGTGCATTTCACTACAGACGGACAAGTCCTGTTATTTTGGTCATGTCCAGCAGCATCCTCTCTCCTCTGAACTTCTCCAGTCCATTTTGCAAAATTTGAGACAAATTTCACTGATTTTACCGTGGTAGAAAAAATATAACAGTCGGACTCATGAAATTTATCATTAAAAAAAAATTATGGATTTTGTCATGTTTACTACAGGTCCAGCACAATCTCTTAATTTAGCTATATAGCTTGAAATAGCTATATAGCTTTATTAAGCTATTCAAAATAGCTTGATAAAGCTATTTTTATACAGTTTTTCACAAAAATGTTTTTTGCAAGAAATAGACAAAAAGTCACAAGTATTTGACTATTCATATATGTACTATGGGCTAACAAAACAACAACCGAAATCAAAGATAGTTCTAACATTGCAGCATTTGAATACTTTTAAGCAAAAGATATATTTCCATTGTTTGAGTAACTGTACACTACCTTATGTGCGTTGAGGCATGGATAAGTATGATTGCTTCTCATTGTACTGAATTATTACCAATCAATTATCTTGTTGACCATAATTGGCCTCCTTTATAATTTCATTGCAGAAGTAACTATCAATTGCTTTATATAGCCTCAAAACATTTAGAACTTTGAGTACAAAGTCTCTTAAGGAGACACAATTTGATGAGTGATTTTTACATGCATTATTTTCAGAAGAGTTCAAGGTTGAATATTATCACTGCACCAAGGTGCGACTTTTTGTGGATGCTGAGAAAATAGCACATTTATGAAAAAAGTGTGATAAAATAGCTAAATCAAGCTATTCTGAATAGCTTAATAAAGCTATATAGCTAAATAAAGCTATATAGCTAAATCAAGAGATTGTGCCAGACCTGTACTAATGAACTATACTGATGGAAATAAATAAGCAGATAAGGGAACACATGTATTGATGGTGAAATTTGCTTTATTGTCGTTGGATTTTGATCAAGCATAATTCATTAGATATGTGCATTCAAAGTGAAATTTTGAGTATCTGGTGTGTCCTCTCTGCTTCCTGATCACATCCTCACACCGTTGTGGAACACTCTGCAACATGCTAAACATTTTTAGGTAACAGTAGTGTTCCCTTATTAATTTCCATCTAATCAGTATATTTTCATCATTTTTGATGGTTAAAATTTTTGAAGCAAGTCCATTCCCAAGTAACTATAAGCCCTACCTGGACTAATTTTGAATGGACAATGCATCTAGGCATGGACACTACCAGACTTGCTTCAGAATCAGATGCTGGATCTGACCTACACTTTCATTTTACGTTGATCTCAGGATGCACACTATCTAGAAAAAAAAATTGATGTGAGATTTGCCTTACTTCTATAGATAACATTCATTCAGGTGAGCTTCATAATCTGTGAATATCTAAGTTTCATACAAAGAGCATATTTCTGTAACAGGAAAGGAGAAAATGCACATTACTCCCTCCTTAGATTGTCTTCACGCCCTCAAAGACAAACCCAAGTTCTTATTTGCCCCTGGCAGGACTTTCACCTGCAAGTCCAGAGGTATTCAACAGCGCCAAATCTGCAACAGGAAAGGAGAAAATGTATAGCTGGACTGGGAATGGATTCAAGGACCCCTGCATCACTAGTCAGGTGCTCTACCAACTGAGCTACCCAGGCCAATATCCATGACCCAAACCATTACATTTCATAAAAGAGAGGACATGTTACATTCTGTTTGAAAAATTAGCCATTCAAGGAATTTCACATAGTTACCTTATTCAACCTGATCTAAAAGTGTAGACTCGATGTTAGATATCCTTTACTATTTTTTGAAAAATCTGGGGTTTTTTTAGTGTTGTTGGGAGGGGGAGTGTTGGGGGTGGGGTGGGGATGGTGGCATTGATCAAGCTCTTTTCCGTTAGTAGGGAAACTAATCACCATTTCAGTTCATGTTTGTTTGTTGTTTTAATAACATCCCTCTCAAGAATTTTTCACTCGTATGGAGACGCCACCACTTGCTGGTGGAGGGCTGCAAATTTAGACCTATACTCGGCACTTGGGGCCATTTAGCAGTGAGGGATTCTTTTCTTTCCAACACCTACTGCAACACGGGACCTCAGTTTATACGGTCTCATCCGAATGCCTGCTCACCGCGTCACGCGGTGTCCACAACGTAAGGCTGAACTCCTTACTCCGTGACTCTAGGGTAGACGCTCTAACCACTGCGCCACATGGGCAACGACTTTATTATGAAATAGTTTCTCAATAACCACAGGAACAGAAATGACAAGATTTATTTGAAATCTTCATTACTGGATGTACATTCAAATTTATTCAAATCATGACATGCTGCAGATATGATCCAGCAGCTGTCAAAATTTTACTTGAGATCCAGATGCTTTGAAAAAGAAGATCATTGAGATTTTTTTTTCTTATAAGAACACTCAGTTTTAAATAAAAATCTTCAAAACTGTCTCTAGAAGAGTAGGATTACTATGTTTATATTAACATGATAAATATCTAACATGTCTGAGAATGCCTGTGCACATGTTGTTGTTTTAAATCATGAAAAAGAAATGTAAATAGGGAAATAAAGGCTTACAAAGATATAGACTTCCTTATTTGATATAACATACAATCAGGGTACTAGCAGATTTATGTAGATTTGAATTTTCTACAGCAGACAAAATATAAAGAATGATGTATATATGAACATGATAGTTAGGGTACACCTCCTAATGTATGTATGAATTGTCTGTCCAACTGTCCCTCTGTCTGTCTGTCCCACTTTGTTTTCCACACTTTTCTTCTAAATGCTTATAGATATTGAGGTGATTTTTGGTATTTGAGTGTTATCTTGATAACTTACAGATAGGGTTTGCATGTCGTTTGGCTTCATTGATTTTAGACGCAATTATGACCTTATTAATTTTTAAGGGTTTTGCACATTTTTTTCCTAAAGGCTTGCAGATATTGAACTGATTTTTGGTATATGAGTTTCCCTTGATGAGTTTTAGAAGAAGATTGCATTTTGCTCTGCTTCAATGATTTTTTGAGGGAATTGTGGCATTTTCAATTTTTAATGGGAACCACATTAAACTTGCCAGTAGGGGACTAGTATTGCTAATGCAATACTCTCAGAATGCTTGTTAAACTCACTAGTCACTTTCAAACTTAATACAACTAATCAATAACAAGCAGATATGAAAACTAATGATAATGTAAAAAATAGTCAGCAAAATTGATCAGGTGTGAATTACTGTACAGCAGGAAATTAACTCGCGGAGTTAATAATTGCTATATTCGCGGACATTTAATTCTGCAAATTTAACATACAATAAATAATTCTTCAAAAATTGATACGGAAAAATTGAAATATTACCGATATCTGTGATTAGATTCGTTAACTCTCTGTGTTTCCTTGCAAACATAAAAGCAGTAATTAATATAATAGCGAATATGAAGACTGTCTTCCTAATTATGCGGGTGTACTGATCAATCACTTACACGTAGTTGTTGTGTTTTTAAAGCTTAATTGATAAAAAAAAACTTATATATTATAACTAACATTTAATTCTGCCACCCAGTAAAGGTGTGATGTAATTACGTATAAAACATGTATTGTTAGATTTCACTTATTACCTTTAAGGCACTTACATAGAAAAGACAATACTGTTACACCTTGTACACATTAATTAAATTTTATTAACAGTTCAACATTTTGATTGTCAGCAGTTACAACCATTTAGATTCAGGGGGATTTAAATAAACTGCAGTAAATACTACTCTATACTCTACTCAAAACATACCTATAAACGAACACCTCCCAAAGGGCTTCTTTTTTTTTTTTAAATGAATATGAAAAGATTTGGATATATGACTTGAAATCACTGGAATAAATCACTTGAGTCTAGAGTAAATAAATATGTATTTCAAAAACATTTAATAAAAAGGAAACTAAGAAAGAATAAAACAAGAGAAAGAAAGAAGAAAATTTATCATTATAAATTGTACAACATTTTGTCTTCTAATTGGGATCAGTACGGTGTTTCGTTCTATTTATTCTGGTTCAGAATCGACACAATACACAAGGTAAATACTGGCAGACGAGTGCTAACAATTTTTCTTTTCTGTGAATTCAAACGACTGTAATTTGCTGATTTCAGTAAGAATTTTCAAATTTATTTCATAAATACATGAAATATGGTACATAAAATAAAAAAGGAAAGGAAACAAATGAGTAACATAAACAATGAACGCGGGGGGGGGGGGGGGGGGGGGACAAATGAGTAACATAAACAATGAACGCGGGGGGGGGACAAATGAGTAACATAAACAATGAACGCGGGGGGGGGCGGGGGGATCTGTGCTTCATTTTGAGATTTTCTGTGTGTACTTGATACGGTCTGTAAAATTGTGCACTGTGTCTGATTCATGATGCAGGAAAACAATAAATCTTGTTTGAGGATCCTGTTAGTCATTTCATTGATCAAAAAACCTCATCTAGGGAGCCAGAAGCAGTGGTTAATGTTATCAAATAAACTGCAGATATTAAAGCTTGTCTAATTTTGTTAGATGAGTAAATACTTTTGTACGGAAGTAATGTTTATTAATCATTTATTTATTGATTGTCATAGGAAAGACACAAGAAAGTTGACTGATCCATGTGCATAATACAATGCATATATTAACTGTTATAAATAGAGTCACAGCTTTTTTAAGAAATAAGGCACAATTTGTCTCCCTATGAATGATATTTTAATAAATTGTAGCTTACAAATATTGAACTCCATAGATTTTTGCAGGGAAAATGATTACTTGAAACAACCATGTGGGCATCAAGAAACAAGGAGATGATGCCCCCTACTCAGGGGGGTCCTCCAACAAAGGATGAGATCCTCAGTACTCTGGACAGCTTTGGGGACAAGACAGTACAAGAGAAAGAAAACAACAACAATCAACAACTAAGTAGACCACAAAGTGACAGCAGCTTTGATGATTGGGAAAAACCAGATCCTCCCAATGCTAGCTTCTCCAATTCCTACAGGTAAATAATCTCAATTCCTACAGGTAGATAACTTCAATTCTTACAGGTAGATAACCTCAATACCCAAAGGTAGATAACCTCAATACCCAAAGGTAGATAACCTCAATTCCTACAGGTAGATAACCTCAATACCCAAAGGTAGATAACCTCAATTCCTACAGGTAGATAACTTCAATACCTAAAGGTAGATAACCTCAATACCCAAAGGCAGATAACCTCAATTCCAATAGATAACCATAATTCCTACAGGTAGATAACATCAATATACAAAGGGAGATACTTGGATACCCAAAGGTAGTTTAAAACTTCAATACCCAAAGGTAGATACTTCAATACTCAAAGGTAGATAACATAAATTCCCAAAGGTAGATAACCTCAATTCCTACAGGTAGGTAACCTAAATTTTTACAGCTTGATAACTTCTCTTTTTTCTACAGATAATAACTTCTTTTATTCTTACACGTAGATAACCTCAATTCCTTCAGGTAGATAACCTCATTACCTAAATAAGTACAGGTAAATAATCTCAATTCCTACAGGTAGATAACTTCTTTATTCCTGTAGGTAGATAGCTCCCCAATCCCTACAGGTAAATAGCCTCTTCAGTTTGTACAGTCAGGTTGTGTCAGGTAAAATAGCTTCTCCAAATATTGCCAAAGGTCAATAGCTCCTCCAGTTCCTAAAGGTTGATTACTTCTCTTACTCCTGCAGGTAGATAGCTTCTCAATTTCTACAGGCAAATAGTTTTTTTTTGATTCACAGTAAATTTTTGGAAATTGTATAGGTAGGTAACTTTTCAAATTCTGGAAAATACATAGCTTCTCTTACAGGTAGATACTTCCTCAATATCTATTGGTATGTGAGCTTCTCCAGTTCTTGAAGGTAGATTAGTCATTCAAATGCTCACAGATAGGTGTCTTTTTCAGTTCCTACAGGTCAATAAATCTCTTAAACTTACTGCAGATAACTCTACCAACTACTACTCCTAGAGGAAGAAAACTTTTCAGATTCCTGCAGATAGTTAACATCTATGATGCCTAAAGGTCATAGTTCTGTACGTCCAAAATTAAATGAATTCTTCCATGGCTGTTTGTAGATTACTTTTCCCTCCTATAAGAAGTTAGCTTCTCAGATTCTTACAGATAGTTTCTGTAATGCCTATAGGTAATACATATGCATTTCCAAAGTAAAAGAATTCTTTAATGCCTGTGTGTAGATATTTTTTCCAGTTTTCACATACTGGAGGGTAGCCCAATTTTTTTTTTCAGTAGGATTAACAGAAAGAAAATACTTACAGTTTTTTAGATGTTAATATAAATGTATTGATACTCAAAATATCCTTTAACTATCGACCATCCATTTGTTATCTGTTTGACTGTCCTTTTGATGTAAATGGAAACTATGTTTTTGTAAATTTTAGTTTTGAGTGGGAGAAGTTATTCAAGAGGAAGAACTACCGCAAGGAACTGAGAAGTTACGCAATGAATGGCCATCTACGCAGCAGCCGATTTCGCAGCGTGTGCTGGAGGGTTTGTCATCAAGATTCTGCCTTCATTTGATATTCAGAATTCTTTTAACTGCAAACATCAATCTTAATTCTGCCAAAGCAATTTTATTAGATGTCATCTCAATGAACATTACTATTAGCTAGATTTAGGAGCTCATTTTTATATTTCTGTCACTTGCTAAACAGGGTGGATCTGCCTGGAACAATTTTAAAATTGATAAAGCTATTTAAAATATGCATTTTCAATATACCTGTAGTTTTTACGGTATTTTTAGCTCACCTCAACAAAGCTGAGGGAGCTTATGTAATACTTGGCCTAAGAGTCCCAACTAGGTTAAAGCTTTTGGAGCAGATTTCTTTCCAAGTTCTTCTTTGCCCTATATTAATCAGAGATCATGGATGATGTATCTAGTATACTTCATTGTACCAGTCAGGTTTCAGATGCTGCGTCTTCAGCCAAAGAATGACCAACTGTTTGTGTTTTTTGAGCAGGTTAAAGTTTTGAGAGCAAGTTTAAGTTTTTGGAGCAAATCTCATTCTAAAGTTACTACAACCCCAATGATGACCAAACTTACATGGATGATACGTCTAGGGATGCATACTACCAGACTTGCTTCGTATGCTGGATATGACAAGTATTTCTTGGATGGGTGACCAAGTTGAAGTGTTTGAGCAGGTTCATTAAGTAATTATAAGCCCTATGGTGACTGAACTTGCATAGATGATACATGTACTTCTAGGGATGCACACTACCATGCTTGCTTCTTATGCTGGATTTGACCTTCCTGATGAGTAACCATGTTAAATTTTTTGTGAGGTCCATTCCCAAGTAACTACCAGCTCTTTGGTGACAAAACTTGTTTGGATGATGCATCAAGGGATGCACATTGCCATACTTTAAAGATTTTGGAGCAGGTTCATTCTATAGTAACTTATAAGCAAATGGTGACCAAACTTGTATGGATGATGCATCTAGGTATGCAGGCTACCAGACTTGGTTGAATGCTGAACCTCAATAACATTTTCTAAGTGATTTAACAGGAAAATTTTGCTCACTTCCAGAATATGTTTAGTTTGAGGCTTTGCTTTAAAGAAAACACTGAGATGAGCTACTGCATACAGGGAAATTTTTGCCCCTGTTTTATTTGTGCTCCTTTGCCCTTGTTGCCAGCTAATTCAAGAAAGACAACATTATCTCATAAACACAACTGTGTCTGGGCGAATTTAAATTGGGGCAAAATTGTTTGCAGTTGTGAAAGGGTGAAAATAACACAAAAATATCCCTGTACACAGTGTGTAATCTTTGATAACGTGTTTAATTTTCTGATGTTGATTGAATTTTAGGTTTTTCTGGATGTACTGCCAGAGGACATAAAGCAATGGAAGAACAGCTGCAAGAAATCCAGAAGTAAATATACAGACCTAAAAGATCAGGTTAGTATTACACACCCTCATCCTGGTATCCTCATTTTTCCTCGCAGCTATGTTAAGGCTTCCCGAAGCTTTAAAATGCGCTCAAAACATTATATGTCATTGCGAGGTCGGTTTTGGTTTTAATTTATAAGTATTGAACTTTAGTACTTCCAATTTATATAATGGGTTTCCTCGGCTATATATTAGCATATTTGTTATGATATCACATGACTTTGTTGATCACGTGACGGTCATTTATAATTTTTTGAAGTGTTTCATATAAATCGCTTCGGCGCAGCTGATTAACACAATAATTATTAACATTTTGTTATATAAATAAACTCATCGTATCCTTGTGTATCCGAAATGTGCTTGGGAAAAGTCATAGTATTACTTGGGTACAAAATATTTCCTGAGAAATTCAACTTACCTACAAATTTGAGGGTATTTTCCACACAATATCGTAATCTGTATTAAAACAAAGCCAACACACATTTTTCCCAAGCAAGATTCAGTTAGAGAACAAGCTCTTCTTACAGATTTCCACAAAAATTCTCAGATTAATCCTCATTAATCACCTGCGCCAGACTCTTTTATACACACAAAATAAATTCTACCTCCTACCACGGGTATAAAACAGAGTACATTTCAAAAGTATATTTTTCATAAGCATTTTGAAAATGATGAATTTCAACCAAGGGTAGGTAAGCGGCATTTTTTTAAAATATTCGGACATATAAGACTTAAAAAACCTTAAACGACCCGTGAATTTTGCAATAGCTATCTAGCATTTTACATGCAGTTTGAAATAAAGTGTAAATTTCATGACACTCTCCCCGTCATAAAACCTCAAGTTTGCAGTGACCTGACGTCATTTTCCATTATGACGTCATATTTTGGTAGTTCAGAGATGTGAAGGCACAGAGTGCACTGTCATATTCTATGGGAAGCCTTAACCTACCTGCGCTGTGTACATTAACACAAATTTATAAAAACATGTTGAATAAAATAAAGTATTGTTATCTTACCTGATTAATATTAGGCCAACAGAAAAATCTGTGTTTAAGGTTTCCTGACTGATTCGTTTCTTTTATCCCTCAACCAGATTTTTTTTTTTTGCAGCATTAGAAATAAAACAAGGTATTGTGAGCTCTGAAGTAAAAAAAAATGATACCTCCCACTCCCATATGATTATAATGGCGAATTCCATAACTTGCTCAAATATTTCTCAGATCACAATGAAAAATAGGAGGTGCACAATGACAATATGTTAAAAAAGTTCCTGGGAAAGTCTCATTAAATTTTATTGAGTGGTATAGGAGGCATTGCAGATAAGAGATGGGTACCCATCATCCAGAAAGAATGGCAGTTTCCATGTTTTTCTATCAATGGGAACCCCAGTCACAATGGCACTATGTAATAAAGATTCTGTGAAAGTCTCATTAAATTTTATTCAGCGGTATAGGAGGAGTTGTGGATAAGATACGGGTACCTATAACTGTAATGGATGGACACCCCCTACTTTTCAAGGTGGGGTGTAATAAGGAAAAAATATATCTGATCTCAGCATCAACACAGAAAAATGAACTGATAAGAATACTAATAGATACTCATTAATAATATCCAATTGACATTGTTCTGTTTGAAAGAGATCTTTATAGACTAACTTTTTATGCAATTCTGGCATAGAATCGATTTTGACCTCATCATAAACTGATCCATGTACAACCCAGTTCCACTGGTGTAAAGTGATATCTCACATTGTATGCAGTAAATGAAACATGGTTATAGAGAGCATAATAAATTCATGCTTACAGCAATGTAATTTTCATACCCTCTAGTTTTTAAATATTTTATGAACTTAAAGGATATAAGAAATTATGCTTATAACAAATCAAAATTGTCTATCCCTGGTACTTCGTTATAGGCATATTAACCTTATACAAATGTGTCTGGGCCTTTTATTCACTTTAATGTGCATGTTTGCTATTTGGTATATAGGTTATCATCATTTACCCTAAATTTGCTCATTGGATCCTGACCTTTAACTATGAGAGTCAAATTATTAGATTTAGAAAAAAACGTGTCCAGATAACTTTTAACTACGTAGAGTATTTAGTATATACAATGTATGAGAGTATATCATACCATCAGTACTCACAAATGACCCTGAACGAAGTCAAATCATATTTATTCTTTGGTGCAATATTTTGTTGAAATGGTATGATACATGTACTGTGTACAAGGAAATTTTTATTTTTGCCTTTGCCATTTCCACATATGGGCAAATTTATAACTGGGCAATTTCAAGAAAGACACCATTTTCTCTTCAACACAACTGTGTCTGGACAAATTTAAAATGGGTAAAAATTGCTAGTGTGTATGGACAAAAATAACATGCGACAAAAATAATCCTTTATACTGTATTTTATACAAGCCTTGGGGATATAATTTTTTTAATGAATAAATTTATATCATATGCTTTTTTTCTTGCATAGATTAAAACATGCTTGTACATTTAAAAATTCCTGTCTGTACATTAATTGATTGTATAATGATATTTATAGTTGATTGTCAATCCAAGAAAAGCAGTTGATTCAAGCAGCTCAGATTTAGTAGTCAACAATCCACTCTCCCAAGCTGATGAGGTAAAATACCTGTGTGGTGTCCCAGAGAGAGAGAGAGAGAGAGAGAGAGAGAGACTGCTGAGAGGGGCTGATGCTCATTATGAAAGAGAGATTAATCAGTGTAGTTGTCCTAATATTGTTTTCTCAGTTATCATTTTAATTGTATTTTTTTTTAAAGTAGTATTTGACTGTAGAGTGTAGGAGAAAATCCTGTTTGATTTGTGTGTACATGTATTTATCTTATATAGAGTCCATGGAATCAGTTTTTCTTGGACAATGAACTGCGACTGACCATCAAGCAAGATGTCATTAGAACGTAAGTTTTCATATCTTTCCACTTTGTGCCTTTTGCAAAATCATTCAGTAAGAGCAAGACAAATGAGTTACAAAGATAAATCTACCTTGGAATATTGCACATAAATTAAACGTATTCACTATTGTGTAAGTAATTCACTGTGTGAAAAATAAGTGCACAGAAAATGTGTACAACTTAAAGGTATACACAACTGTTTATTCATCCAATTATTAAATGCAAAGAATTTCTGTGTTTAACAAGGTACCCTAGGATTGCATTCTTCCAGTCAAACCAAGTGCGGAATTTAATGGTGGACATCTTGTTTATTTATGCTAAACTAAATGCTGATACTTCGTACCGACAGGTGGAATACCGTTTTATGCTTCCAGGCTTATGGTTTTCCAAAAGGAGAAAGACTTTAAAATATAAATACAGTTATCATTTTTAAATAGTGTTAAGTACATTCCAAACCATTGTAATTTTGTATGAAAAAGATTCATGTTTCTCTGCACACATTGAAGTTAATAGTTCTTTATTAATTCTCCTCTTGGATTCTCATAAGTTTGGTATAGCTGTCTTTTGCATGTGAGTTTTGTAGCCAAAATAGCCTTCTTGCTGTTAGCTTGTGTTGTTAATTCTAATAACCACTATTTTTCTGAAACTGTCATGTACCGTATATACTTGCCTATAAGTCGATTTTTTGGGAGTTAAACTTTGGTCCAAAACTCTTTATCTGACTTATACGCAAGTTATAAAAAGACTGGTGTTTTAGTGGGTCAATCCCTCTAATTTAAGCTTAAAAAATACAGCCGACTTATAGGTGGACGGACTTACAGGCGAGTATATATGGTATGTGTAAAAGGACATATAACATTATGAAGTATTTATTTCTTTCAGTTTCTGTTTATTGTATTTGTACAGTATATGTCCGGAATATGAACATGTAAATTCAGCAGACTTTGACATGCTTTTCTGTGTTGATTAAGACATAATAAGCCCACATTTTCAGTAATTATTATTCAACAATTTGTTGTGAATGATTTGTATGATCAATACAATATTGCATATTTTAAGACATGAGAAATGTAGAAAAAGAGTACTGCATGATGAAAAAAGCTTTCAGAAGATGAAATATTCCTCAAATTAAGAAAAAAAGAAAGAAGCAAGGATATTGCATTAATCAAAAGAGTTACTTTTCTGGACAGTGAATCATTTTCTTTTTTTTTGGGGGGGGGGGGGGGGGGGGTAGTATTCTTTTTCATTTAAAAACACAACAAGAAATGATGGCAGGATAACCATTGTACAAATAAAAAGTATTTTAAGTATATTCAAATACAATCCAATTACCAAATCAATGTGTTTTGTGGGTTCAAATTTTTTAATGGACAAATTGGCTTTTCATCACGCAAAATGGCTGTCTGAAATATAAAACTAGGGGTTATTTTTGCCATACTAGTTAAGGAAAGACAGCTACTGTTTACCACTAACAATAAAAGATGTTTTCTTTTTAATCACTAAACAGCTGATTTTTTTTACCACAGATTTTTGTTGCAGTTACTTTTCCCTACCAGATTCTAACTCTCCACATTTTTTTTTTTAAAAAAAAAAAATCTTTTCATTTTAAGTTTTTTTTTTTACTTCCTTCTTGAACTTTTTTTTTAGTTTTCCTGAGGTAGAATTTTTTCACAAGGACGATGTTCAAGAAATGATGGTCGATCTTCTGTTTTGCTTCTGTAAAACAAATACAGACCTTTCTTATAAGCAGGTATTTTAATTCCAAAGCATGTTTTATGTCATGAAGTGTGATCTTGGTTTCTCATATGCTCCAATGAATCTTTTCCCGCAGATCGATTACCGTGTCAAAATTAAGATTTTCTTCTTGTGGGGGGGGGGGGGGGGGGGGGGGGGGTTTAACCTGAAAAAAAAAAAAGAATCAATGAGAGAAGTCCAATGAATTTCTCTAGGTTAATTATTTTCTTATATGATGTTTTATGAGGAAAGTATATGGAGAATTTGCAATGCCATGTAATTTTTGTGGCAACTTTCTTAAAGAGCTTTCTTTAAAATATTATTACAGTGAATCTAATATGTAAATGTTACCGAGTGTAACCATTCATGCATTAATATTTAATGTTTAAAAGATTTTTTATATCACGGAGAAAAATATAGCTTTAGATCCAAGATACATGTATTAGGGTTGTACCAAACAGATCTACTCATATTTGGCAACTTTACAGAACATAATGACAAGTGTGAACATAGGAGTTGTATTGTTTACCTTTGAAAAAAACAACAACTTTTTTGGGGGCATGATTGGCCTTTATCCCTATATTGATTTAGCATGTTGTTTGAATAACAGTGCTGATGATGAATCAGAATCTTACAGGCTCTTACCATGACTGTGAGTGACTGTAGGCAGAAGTTCTTACAGATGAAGTAATTGATCATTAGATTCTCTGACATTCCATCCTTCTTCACTGTCTTGTTGTTACAGATGAAGTAATTGATCATTACATTCTCTGACATTCCATCCTTCTTCACTGTCTTGTTGTTACAGATGAAGTAATTGACCGTTACATTCTCTGACATTCCATCCTTCTTCAGTGTCTTGTTGTTACAGATGAAGTAATTGACCGTTACATTCTCTGACATTCCATCCTTCTTCAATGTCTTGTTGTTACAGATGAAGTAATTGACCATTACATTCTCTGACATTCCATCCTTCTTCAGTGTCTTGTTGTTACAGATGAAGTAATTGACCATTACATTCTCTGACATTCCATCCTTCTTCACTGTCTTGTTGTTACAGATGAAGTAATTGACCATTACATTCTCTGACATTCCATCCTTCTTCAGTGTCTTGTTGTTACAGATGAAGTAATTGACCGTTACATTCTCTGACATTCCATCCTTCTTCACTGTCTTGTTGTTACAGATGAAGTAATTGACCATTACATTCTCTGACATTCCATCCTTCTTCAATGTCTTGTTGTTACAGATGAAGTAATTGACCATTACATTCTCTGACATTCCATCAATCTTCACTGTCTTGTTGTTCCAGATGAAGTAATTGACCATTACATTCTCTGACATTCCATCCTTCTTCGCTGTCTTGTTGTTACAGATGAAGTAATTGACCATTACATTCTCTGACATCCCATCCTTCTTCACTGTCTTGTTGTTACAGATGAAGTAATTGACCATTACATTCTCTGACATTCCATCCTTCTTCAGTGTCTTGTTGTTACAGATGAAGTAATTGACCATTACATTCTCTGACATTCCATCCTTCTTCAATGTCTTGTTGTTACAGATGAAGTAATTGACCATTACATTCTCTGACATTCCATCCTTCTTCGCTGTCTTGTTGTTACAGATGAAGTAATTGACCATTACATTCTCTGACATCCCATCCTTCTTCACTGTCTTGTTGTTACAGATGAAGTAATTGACCATTACATTCTCTGACATTCCATCCTTCTTCAGTGTCTTGTTGTTACAGATGAAGTAATTGACCGTTACATTCTCTGACATTCCATCCTTCTTCAGTGTCTTGTTGTTACAGATGAAGTAATTGACCATTACATTCTCTGACATTCCATCCTTCTTCACTGTCTTCCTTGTGTAAAAAAAAAAAAATGAAAATTTCACACTTAATTTTATATGAAATAAATAATATTAAAGAAATATTTTTTAATTAATATGTGTTTGGTGTGCAGTTTTCAATTTTGCATGCATTCTAGAAGTTTTGGAGAGAATGTGTGTTACACAGTAATCTGCTTTGTTTATACATCTTCCTGTTCGTTAAAAGTCTTTTAAAACTGCATTGAATCTACTAATACGTCATGCACAGCATGTAAACATTACAATTGTAAGTTTTATTAATGTTTTAGTGACATGCTGATACAGAAATTACTTTTAATAATTTTATTGGGGGGGGGGGGTTCTTCATCAATAGCAAACTTTTCAAAAATATAGTTTTGGGTTTTCTTCTTTTTTTTTTTAAATAATAGTTTTTGAAATCACCTTGATTAAAAATAAGCATTTTTACATTTGACCTTGATTGGCAATGTTGAATGGTACTTGAGTGATCTTTAACAGAATTTGATGTGTGTTTTAGGGAATGCATGAACTGCTGGCCCCCCTGATCTTTGTCTTACACTGTGATCATCAAGCTTTTCTACACGCTGCTGAGGTGGAAACTTTAGGGTAAGTCTTCACTAATTTGTTCTGTTTTCTCTACTTGATACTGATTTCACATGTAGATTTCATTCTGTGAATTTTATCACTATCAAAATTACCACTTATCTGATTTTAATGTTTATCATTTAACATGATTTTTATGTATGTATAAAACTTTGACATGATTATTGATGTTAAACTGCATAAGAATAAATTCTTCATTAAAACAAGATGTGTTTGTGAAACACTGATGCCCCTGTATGACAACTTATAGCAAAGGTTAAACTTTCTCAAATGCAAATCAAATATGTTGGTACCCAAAGTAAGGTCTTGTCTCAAGAAATATACCTGTGAAATATGAAAGCCCTAGCAGTAACCATTGAATAGATGTGAAAAAGGTTAAAGTTTTTCAAAAGTAAGTCAAACATCAAGGTCAAGGTCAAATGGTCAAAATTAATGGTGCCTAAAGAAAGGCCTTCTCACAAGAAATAAACAGGTGAAATATGAAAGCTGAAGCACCAATCGTTCAAAAGTTATGACCAAGTTTAAAGTTTTTCAAAAGTAGATCAAACTCCAAGGTCAAGATCAATGGATTACAATTGTTGGTATCAAAAGGAACGTCTTGTCAAAAGGAAAATATGAAATATTTATTAAATGTTAAATATGAAAGCCCTAGCAACAACTTTTCAAAAGTTGTGTCCAAGGTTAAAGTTTTCCAAAAGTAGGTCAGAGTCCAAGGTCAAAGGGTCAAAGTTGTTGGTATCCCAAGGAAGGTCTTGTCACAAGGATAACATATGTGAAGTGTGAAAGCCTTAGCATCAGTGGTTCAAAAGTTATGGCTAAGGTTTAAGTTTTTTCAAAAGTAGGTCAAACTCAAAGGTCAAAGGGTCAAAGTTGTTCAAATCCAAAAACTATCTTCGATACGGGGGCATAAAAACATGTCCAGAGAAACCGTATACATGTTTGGATAAAGTGTATAGAGGGATGTAGACATTTTATGGTTGTAATTTATGAGTATACTCATACTGAGAAAGTGTAGCAGAATCAAGTTTATTCTATCAGAATATTTCACCAACAAAAACAGTTAAGAATATATACTGCATAATGACTTTTACAGGCAGATTAATGCCCCAGACAGGTTAGCTATTTAAAAAAGAAATGCTAAAATGAAAAGTTCATTTGATTGCTATTTTGTCTTTATGTATTGGTGATGGAGAAAATATATATTACATATACTCACTTCAAACATGGCTAATCATTTTCAAGTATTGCATATATCTGCTTTAAAGTGCATTTGCCATCTCTATAACTCAATAAATATCAAAGATGAAAATTTGGACAGTAGCATGTCCTCTCAGATCTCTACAATTATCTCTCTTGTTTTTTAATGAATTTATTAAAGAGTTATCACCCTTTCGCCTTTCACTGCTTGCTTTCTTTAGATGGCCAGTAAAAAGACAGTTTTCTCTTTATTAGACAGAAAAATACCCTCTATCATATTATTATTAAAAGCAAAAAAAGAATTTTTAAAATTTTGTAAACCAGTTTATTGAATAATTGCATGAAATAAGATTGAATACTGTTGATTTTAATGAAAAATGTACTAATATTTTTTGTTTTTCCTTTAACATGAAATAGTTTATGTTTGTTGCATTTAAGTTGGAAATTTCCTAAAAGATATTTCCAAGGACTATCTATCAATGAATGAAAATTTTAAAGGAAATCTAATATGAATTATATATATATAATTTGTGATTTAACTTTTGTTTTTGTATTTTTCTGGTTAGATAATTCTGATTTTCTATAAACTATCTTTGTTACAGGGATATTGTGAAAGAGGTCATGGATCCTGCATATTTAGAGCACGATGCTTAGTAAGTAGTCTTCTTTAAAGAAGGAAAGTACTGGCCTTACAACTGTTGTATATCTAAGTACTGGCCTTACAACTGTTGTATATCTAAGTACTGGCCTTACAACTGTTGTATATCTAAGTACTGGCCTTACAACTGTTGTATATCTAAGTACTGGCCTTACAACTGTTGTATATCTAAGTATTTTATTTATGACATAAGAACTAAACTATAAACATGTCTTTGTTATTGTAGTGCCCTGCTGAGTCAGATCATGCGTACTGTGGAACCTTGGTATAACTCAAAAGACCTTCCTGTATCTAGGGTATATATATCATTACATGTATTAAGTAATTTGTCAATGTGTAAGATATGCATACCCTGCTAAATGTAGCACAATCATTGAAAGGTATATATTCTGGCATAGAAAACACAATCATTGATTTCCAAGGTCTGCCTTAAGGTTTACCCCAGTATTTTTACTTCAATAGAAATTTATTTCAATCATTGATTTTCCTGAAATAGTTTCTTTCACATGAACATCTTCATTTATGGACCTTCAAAGTCATTTAAAATATAATTTTTAAATTTCTTTTTTTAATTTAATACCAGATATAAATTATTTTTTCTATTAACAATGAAGTAAAATTAATTTCAGAAAAGATTTTAATGTGTTGATGTGAACTGTTACATAAATATCATTAATTGTGAAAGTAGGTTTTACAAATAATATCAAAACTGGTGACCAGCAAACTTTAACGTAAAAAATTTTGTGCAATTAACCATACAACTCAGGAAGATGATTTTTATTTAAGGGTAGAGAAAGGGTCAACTCCATTCCATTTGCCCGTCCTAAAGACCTGAACTCATCTAGTGCCATTGTCACCAAGCTGACACGAATACAAGACTACATCCTGAAGAAGTTTGATCACGAGTTACACGGCCATTTAGAGAGGCTAGAGATTGCTCCACAGATCTATGGAATGTAAGTAGAGATTGCCCCACAGATTTATGGAATATTAAGTAGAAATTGCTCCACAGATCTATGGAATGTAAGTAGAGATTGCTCCACAGATCTATGGAATGTAAGTAGAGATTGCTCCACAGATCTATGGAATGTAAGTAGAGATTGCTCCACAGATATATGGAATGTAAGTAGAGATAACACCACAAATCTATGGAATGTAAGTAGAGATTGCTCCACAGATATATGGAGATCTATGGAATGTAAGTAGAGATTGCTCCACAGATATATGGAGATCTATGGAATGTAAGTAGAGATTGCTCCACAGATATATGGAATGTAAGTAGAGATTGCTCCAAAGATCTATGGAATGTAAGTAGAGATTGCTCCACAGATATATGGAGATCTATGGAATGTAAGTAGAGATTGTTCCACAGATCTATGGAATGTAAGTAGAGATTGCTCCACAGATATATGGAATGTAAGTAGAGATAACACCACAAATCTATGAAATGTAAGTAGAGATTGCTCCACAGATCTATGGAATGTAAGTAGAGATTGCTCCACAGATCTATGGAATGTAAGTAGAGATTGCTCCACAGATCTATGGAATGTAAGTAGAGATAACACCAAAGCTCTATGGAATGTAAGTAGAGATAAATCCACAGAATCTATTCATGGAATATAAGATAAATATATATATATATGTGTGTGTGTACCTCAGTAGATGTAAGAAATATTAGATGTAAGGAATATAAGAAATAATGCCACTGATCTGTGCAGTGTTAATGAAAATAGAACTACATACTCAAGAGCTCTAAAGATATATATAATTATATAATCTCTACACAAATATGTCTAAGTGATGTTAGTCAAGATTTATATACCTCCACAAAGCCATGGACTGGAAGTGGAAGATAATCCCACGGATATTCAAAATCTATACACTGTTTAATCATTTTGGTTAAATGTATTATTGATACATATTTGTTTTTGCCTTGTTCCTCTTTTTGGCTATGATGTTAACAGTTTTCTCTTGTTCTTTTTTTAGACGTTGGATAAGACTGCTGTTTGGTCGGGAATTCCCCATGCAGGACCTCCTAGCTCTGTGGGATGCTATATTTGCTGATGGAGTTGGATTTGAACTTGTGGATTTTGTGTTTGTTGCCATGCTACTGTACATTAGGGACCTGTGTAGGAACTTAATTGTTAAAAACAGTTTTTATTTTCTCCTCTGATGAATTCTTGTCAAATTCAGTTTTTCTTTAATATTCACTCTGTGTAATGAAATCTTAACATGTCTATTATATCAATATGCTTATTTTAGTACTGGCTAGTGATTACCCACAATGCCTTAATTGCTTGATGAGATACCCACCATTAGCAGATATCAACCACTTGATTGATAATGCCCAATATCTTAGAGAACCAAAGGTACGTACATGTATCACTGGTGTCCAAGAATAAAAGGTATCTACCACTGAAAGCCCAGAAAAGTAAAGGTTTGTATCACTGGTGTCTGGGAACTTATTTAGTTACAATTATGTACTAAGTGATACCAACAATGGACCCTTGGCACTGATAAACACAAGATAATACTATAGTTCTACCTGGCTTTTTAACAAAAGATTTTTTTTGGCAGTTAAAACTGACTGACATTTACTCATTAATTTTGCAGAACATTGACGAGCTTTATTAAGTTTATGTATGTTTGATAACAAAATGTTCAGTTTCTGGATAGTTGCTATTTAAAATTATCATTGTGGCAACAATTTAATCATACTCCCCCATGGTATTTGCCTTGGATCAATTATGCTAGCAGGTATTTGGCATTTTATATCCCTGCAAGCATAGTTCAATCACCTTGTCCGTCTGTCCACCTATCTGTTGATCATGCATTGAAAATATATTTTTGAAAGTCTTTTTTAACTCCTGGACATCAATCAGGCAAACTGTTTGGATGATTATAGTTAGCAGTAAGCACCCTACCAAAAATATGAAATTCATATTCACTGGGTCTAGGGTCCAAGCCTAAGGCTGGGGCTAAGTTGATAAAATATTTAAAATGTATGTACAAAAAATATCTATCAATCCATGTCACATGGGTTCAGAGTTCCAGTAAAAGCTAGAATTGAGTTGATCATAAGCATAAGTCTCTTGGGAGATTGTCATTGTGCTTGGTCTTTTTGTTTACAAACATTAAATTTTAGGAAAATAATCTTAAAGGAACAGATTTTTGTCATCTAGAAATGTAAGATCTTATACAGTATAATGATCATGAAATTATCATTCACTCATTCACTTGGATAATTAATAATAAATGGGGAAATGTGTTGTAATTTGAAACGAGTAGTTTTTTCTTTTTTCTATTGTTTAACATGAAATAAACTTTCTCACTGCAGTAAAGAGATTAACAGTAGATGATTTTGTTTCCTTTCAGCACCACCCCCGGCCTCCTACCTATACCTACAATACAGTGAACAATGCAAAGTCTCCTGTCACGCAGAAACCACCACCTAAAACCAGCTCAAGTAGGTCATCCCTCTATGAAATTCAATGTAAATAGTGTCTCTATCAGAAACCACCACCTAAAATCAGCTCAAATACATGTAGGTCATCACTCAATGAATGTACAGTAAAACTTGTCTAATCCGGCGACCAGTGGTTCCAAAATTTTTGGCCGGATTAGACAACATCCGGATTGGAGAAAATTGAACCGCTATAGCAAGTTTCACTTGAAAAAATCGTTATTTTCGTATGTTTTGAACTCTAGATCTGTTTGTTCTTCAGAATTTTCATTCCTGTTTAAGTTTTTTATTCAGTAACGAAATATATTATCTGTTGGTTATTCATTAAATTTGAAAATCGTTAAATGTTTTAACACACTCCAAAACCTCATCATAGCTGTAAATATTATTTTGTTAGGGACAGATTCCTAATTAATTTCTTTCTTTTAAAATTAATATGTTTGAATATTTAGACACTGTATTTGTTAATTTCAAATGTTATAATGAATATTGGATCAAAATCTTCTGTCATTTTGGTCACTGTAGACTAGCGACACAAAGGGAAGTAATTCAAATTACACGTCGTGCACGCAAAACGAAAGTAGAAAGGAGATCATGAATAAGTTTCCATGTTTTTCTACAGACATGCTTCACGCAACCATCACTATCACTCGTTCTTTTGCAAGTTTTCTCGCCTTACTTGAGCCATTAATGATATTTTTTAATCACGTTTGTTAAAATCTAAATTGTCGATACAGGATAGATCATTAACAAGACAATAAATTCCCCACGCTAGACTTCTCTAATGACCAGCGAGCACAGTTAAAAATAAGTGGCCAGATTAGAGGAGATAATTTGTACTAATTATGAGCAGTTAGTTCTTTAAATAGCGGCCGGTTTACAGAATAGGCAAGATCCAGATTGAACAACATTTATTAAACATAAATTATAAAGAAAATTCAAGGGACTAAAATATTACGCCGCACTGAGCAACATGCCGGAATGCACAACACCCGGATTCAACAAGTATTACTGTACATGTAAATGTCTCTATCAGAAACCGCCACCTAAAACCAGATCAAGTAGGTCATCACTTGTACTAATTTAAATGATGTCTCTGTAGAAACTGCCACCTAAAACCAGATCAAGTAGGTCATCATTTGTACTAATTTAAATGATGTCTCTATAGAAACCGCCACCAAAAACCAGATCAAGAAGGTCATCACTTGTGCTGATGAAAATATTGTTTCTAGAAGAAACTGCTGCCTAAATCCAGCTCAAGCACTGACATTAATGTCTCAATCAGAAAACACCAGCTCAAGTACATCTCCACTTGTACTAATGTTAATAATGTCTCTATGAAAAACCACCTCCTGAAGTCAGCTCATTGACAAGTCCTAGATTGTACTAAATGTTAATAATGCCTCAATGAGAGTCCACCAGATAACAAAGGTTAGCCTTGTTACTGTAAATGATATAACAAATGACATCGGCAAGGAATATCTGTCGTGCAGAGGTGCTTGGTTTGGGGGTCTATTTCACTGAATTTCCACTGTTGCCATACCATACAGTTTTAAATGCTTGATACTTAGACAACGGGGGCCAATTGGAGAAGAAAGGGAAGAGTAGAATTTTGGCAATTGTGAAAATAAAAGTTTAGGGTTGTTAAGTAATCTGTTTGACTTTACTATTTATTGTTTATAAATTCAGTTTTAAAGAAACTATTCAAGATATTTTCAACAAACTTCATGCACTACTGTAGTACAAATTTTCATGTTACATTACTAATGAACCCTAGGCAGGGTTTTCATGTCCTATGGACATATTTCTAGTTGTAAATAGAAATTGTAGAACTTCACACATTATGCATTATTCAAGATTTTGCAGATTTGGAAGTGTATTTTGTTCCATATTCCAACACTCTTCAATATCAAAATTATCAAATTACTAATTATAAAATTAGAGTCTATTTCAATAAGAGTTCTAGTTGTTTTTAGCTCACCTGAGCCGAAGGCTCAAGTGAGCTTTTCTGATCACTTTTTGTCCGGCGTCCGTCTGTCTGTCTGTCCGTCTGTCTGTCTGTCTGTAAACTTTTAACATTTTCGACTTCTTCTCAAGAACCACTGGGCCAATTTCAACCAAACTTGCCACAAAGTATCCTTGGGTGAAGGGGATTCAAGTTTGTTAAAATGAAGGGCCACGCCCTTTTTCAAGGGGAGATAATAAAGAATTAGTGAAAAATTAATAGCATCTTTTAAAAATCTTCTTCTCAAGAACCACAGGGCCAGGAAAGATGAAACTCATGTGGAAGCATCCTCAGGTAGTGTAGATTCAAGTTTGTTCAAATCATGACCCCCGGGGGTAGGGCGGGGCCACAATGGAGGATCAAAGTTTTACATAGAAATATATAGGAAAAACCTTTAAAAATCTTCTTCTCGAGAACAGCAAAGCCATGATGGGTCATATTTATATGGAAGCATCCTCAGGTAGTGTAGATTCAAGTTTGTTCAAATCATGACCCCCGTGGGTAGGGCGGGGCCACAATGGAGGATCAAAGTTATACATGGAAATATATAGGAAAAACCTTTAAAAATCTTCTTCTCAAGAACAGCAAAGCCATGATGAGTCATATTTATATGGAAGCATCCTCAGGTAGTGTAGATTCAAGTTTGTTCAAATCATGACCCCCGGGGGTAGGGCGGGGCCACAATGGAGGATCAAAGTTTTACATAGAAATATATAGGAAAAACCTTTAAAAATCTTCTTCTCAAGAACAGCAAAGCCATGATGAGTCATATTTATATGGAAGCATCCTCAGGTAGTGTAGATTCAAGTTTGTTCAAATCACGACCCCCGGGGGTAGGGCGGGGCCACAATGGAGGATCAAAGTTTTACATGGAAATATATAGGAAAAACCTTTAAAAATCTTCTTCTCAAGAACAGCAAAGCCATGATGAGTCATATTTTTTTGGAAGGGGCCATGATTGACTATCAAAGTTTTACATAGAAATATTTAGGAAAAATTTTAAAAATCTTCTCAGGAACAGCAAAGCCCTGATTGATCATATTTATGTGGAAGCATCCTCAGGTAGTGTAGATTTTATTTTGTTCAAATCATGACCCCCAGGGGTAGGTTGGGGCCACAATGGAGGATCAAAGTCTTGAATAGAAATATATAGGATAATATCTTGGAAGCATCCTCAGGTAGTGTAGATTCAAATTTGTTCAAATGATGACCCCTGGGATAGGGAGGAGCCACAATTGGGGATAAAATTTTTACAAAGGAATATATGGGAAATTTTTTTTGAACATCTCAAGTACAAGAAAGCAATTTGTTATATTGACATGGAAGCATCATCAGGTAGTTTAAAATTCAAGCCCCCCCCCCCCCCCCCCCCACACGGTGGTAATCTTTTCAATACTGAACTCATTTGTGCTTTTTGCCTAGCCAATGTGCTCAGGTGAGCAATGTGGCCCATGGGCCTCTTGTCTATATTTATGAGCACCACAATGTTTAACAGCTCCCACTAGCACCAGTACTAACAAACACCAAAGGAGTGGGAGTCTGACCTCCAGCTTTTCTGAATTCTCACGCAAAATGAGACCTAAAACTTTACAGATGGATGGAAACAAGCCATCAATTTACAAATCTTCTAGTGTTCCTATGAACTTGCAGACAGACATTTCCCCAGGTAAAATCTCCATAGAGTATGGTAAATGGATGTTGTGTCTTTAGTTTCTTTGGTTATATTTTCCTTCTCCCTGTTAGCCAAGAAGAAGAAAATGCAAATCTTCTATTTGACAGTGGTTCTTGTCAAGAGGTGGGGAACATCTATTCATGCTTCCAAAAAAATCAATCATTTGATATAAAACAAAGGCTTCTTTCTGCTTCAACTTTTGTTATAATTGCAGGGAAACTTTAATTCAGTGAAGGTGTTGTGTCTAACTTGTGGTTCTTACAACTTTTTATATCTTACCCAGCACTTGGTTTTGGTGTATAGAATGTACCTGTCAGTATAATTGGTTGCCATCAATACATCAACATACTTAATTGCATGCATCCACAAAGTCTGCTTCACAATTCTGCCATTATTTGATCTCAGCAGCACAGTTTTTTTCTTTTTTCTTTTTTTGAAAATATTTTATAATTAGATTAGATAAACTGAAATATAAATATTTCAAACAATCATATCCATTTTCTTTTATATTGATTACTGTCATGTTATAGAAGAAAAATGTTTCATACAATTTTTGGAGTAAGTACTGTAAATGTACCTAAATTAGCACATTCAGAAATTTAGTTAGTCGTCCTCTTTTACTATCACAATCTTAAATTAATACATTAGAGTTTTAACAATTACATGTATTAGTTTACTGAGGATAACCAAATTTTTGCGACACCATTTTGCATTAGAAAGGTATTTAAGATTTATAAGAGAGATAAAATTTTCACGAATGTCGGTTATTGCTGTATATAATCTTTAGAAGTAAAAATATACTAGAGAATGAAATGTTTGAGAGCAGTTGGTCTCACATTTGCAAATAAAAAGTAAAAGTAATCTACAGTATTCATGTAATTTAGCATGTAAATATATTAGCAGATAAGAAGCTGTGCAAAAGGTGCTAAAATATGATTACTGCTACAAATAAGTATGTTAACAGTATTTGATGTGATTTTTACAGCAGTGTCCTGTAAGTGTACAGTCATGTACTGGATATGTTATTCTGAGAGGCAATATGATACATCATTTTATATATAATAAACATGTTTAGGTACTCCCCAGTACCCTCAGCACAAGAGAGGGTCATCAGCTAGTCTCTCCCAAGTAGAGGACTCCATGTTTAAACAAACACCATCACCTAGCAGTATGGCTCGGCTGGAAACTGCCAATGATAGAATTGTGAATACCACTGCTTACAGCTCAGATGAAAGTCCGTTGAATGGAAATGTTGCTAGATTCTCCACACTGCCAAACATGAAGGCTAAAGGAAAGAAAATTTCTAAACAGGCAAGTGTTTGGTAATGCTTAGGATGAATTTTCTTCCATCATATAAAGTTGTTGGTCAGCATCAAAATGTGCATGCTCTTAATTTATCACTAGTCACAGAAAGAAAATACACATGCAGACTTGGTCAAAAGTAAATGTAAAAGTTATTGATATGACCATTTTACATTCATGTGATTGTGTATATACCTTGGTATGCCTGAGGGATATGCAGCATAGTGCTGTAAAATGAATATTCTTAATGCAAACAAAAATACATTTTGAAATGGAGGAAAACAATGACCCACTTTGCACTTCATATGACACTGAAGGTTAAAAAAAATGTCAAAGTTATCCTGTTGTGATCATAGGAAAATTAAAAAAAAATGTTTTTTGGTTGAACTAAGATGCAAAATCAGCAAGATGATGATCTAAAAACTTGGTGAAAGCTTGGAATGAAGTTCCATTCTCAGTATCTGCATGCAAGTCTGGGGAAAAAATGTATACAAATCTTTGTACATTTAGGGAGACATTATGATTACAATGTTAATAGTTTTAAGTTAGTGCATTTTGAATGAAGGCTTGAATTTAAGTAAAATGGTTTTAGTTCAAACAAATATATAATATTAACTCATATTTTTTGTGGTGTCCGTCTATTCCTTTTGCGTTTAGCTGAATTTCTGAATTGAACTGTTCAATAAAACATCTTCAAATTGCAGATTCATACAGTATATCTTTAATTATTTAGTCCTGTATTGGCAACTAAATTTTCATCAATAAATTTCTGTTGAAATTCATTGTGTGATTTTGCAGGTTGCTGAGTTTGAGCACAGGATTGGTGAACTACAAGGGCAGATCAATGAGAAGGAGTCCATGTCACTTTATTGTGCTAATAAGCTTGATGTGCATATCGGTAAGCAGAAGAAAAATAAAAAGTTCAAGTTGGTAGAACATGTTTATAGCAATATAACACAAAGAATATATGTAGTTATAATAAATACCCTCCCGTCCTCCACTTATTACATGTCTACAAGGTCATATAGTAATGATGTTGATATGGGTAGAACGGGGTTGGCACTTAGGTTTTCAGGAAAAAAGAAACATTTTGTAAATTTTAGCATTGTAGAAGTTTACATTTGTCACAGACATTGCTTAGGACTAGGGACTTTAACGATTACAGATATTCAAGATTAAGCCTGCACAATGTGGCAGTGTAATTTCTTAAAAGTTGCTGTGGTCATATAGTCATATATGTGATTTTTTTCTCACCCTATTTTAAATGTGCCCCATAGGATTGGAAAGGGGGGGGGGGGGGGTAATTCCTATGAAAACAGTTCTCGATATCTATGGAAATTACACCAGAGAGCTCAAAAATATTGTTAATTAAGAAACAATTTTGAGGGAGATATTTTTTAGTGAACTTTCCAGTAATGTCTTGGGGTTTTTTTTTTTTAGGTCGATTGCAGACTGAGATTTTGAAGCAGTCCTTGGAGAATGAAGATGAAATATTATTAGCAATAGCTGGAATAAAACAGGTAGGAGTCTTTAAACTTGATATTTGTGTTCTTGGTGTACAGTCTACATGTTTGTAATAATATTCAAAAGGAAAAGGAATGGTAATGGCCAAATCTGGCCCTTTATTTGATGTAAAAATCAGAACACAGTTAAAATTGTGATAGTTTATTGTTAAGAACTTAAAATGATGTTTGTTTTAAAAGCAGCACTAATTTTGATTCAAAGCTTACACAGAGACCACAAAAAGGTGCAGAAGTAGGACATTTTCCCGAATTTCCTCAATTCTGGTGGAATTTTGTCAAATTTGTGATACTTTTCACTTTGGGAAACATAGAGCACAAGCTTGCCTATCTGAGATTTTTATTCATAAGATGCATCTGATACTAGTGTATGAAATATGTAAATTTCATAGATAGGCAAGCTTGTGCTCTATGTTTTCTGAAACAAAATGTGCTGTAAAATCAATGAAAATTTGCATAAAAATGAGAAAATTCGGCAATTGACATATTTTCTGACCTTCATGTGACCTCTGTGTATCCCATAACTTAGAACCAATACTCATTTTGTGGCAGGGGTGAGAACAGGTTTTTATTGATAAACTGTTGCATCATTCTAAAAGACACCCTAAACCAGGGCCAAAAAGGGGTCTTAGCCTATCTTGTCTTTTTCATATTAGAAGAAAGCGGATTAATTAGGATGAACAAATCTTGAAATGTTGAAACAATCAATATTATTGACCTTTGTTGTAATAGGCATGCACAAAAGATTGAAGGCTGTATATACTATTTTTGGTCTCTCTCTCATGTTTTACATGTAATATTTAATCTACCTTTAATTTTTAATCTAACAAGAATATTATAGAAAGTATTTTCCTCTGTGACTAGGTCAGAGATGTCTTAAAAGGAACTCTGAGATTCTCCCAAATGGAGGAAGAAGACCTGAAAGTCCGAGATAACTACTATGAGACGGAAAATAATTCCTCCCCCGAGACAACTCAGCAAGAGTCACGAGAGAGGCAGAGGACAGGATCTAACACAAAGAGATTTTTCTATATGAGCAGTGAAGAAAACTCGGAAAATGCTGAATCCCCTTCTGAGGCCCCCATTCCTGCAGTGACCTCACGGAAGGGATCAATCAGGAAAGAGGCTCAGATTACCAAGGAAGACAGGAGAGAATTTGAACTGAGTGACTGTGTTCCGACCGGGGGAAGAAAGACAGGAGCAAGTGGAATTCAATCTGTTGATGTCACAGAAAAAACTCACCCATTAGAAAATAGTCCAAATCCCCTGTATAACTATAGCTGTTCAGTAGATTCTGTGTGATTCAAGTTAGTAAAATGACTGTCAAAAGAAGAAATTTCTGTGTATAGTAAATGTTTGGTAAAATCTGTGCAATTTAAAATTAGTTATTATCAGTTTAAAGCAAATTCGCTTGAATTGTATGGATGATTAATCACATCATTAATAACTTATTTGATTTCAATGATATTTTTTCAAACAATGAATATTGTTAGATTAGACACATCCATAATGATTTCTGTAATCCCCTATGATGTAGACTCTTAGGACATTCCATGCATTTGAAATCCATGTAGTTTGACCAGATGTTCATCAACATCTCTTTTCTCTTTTTATTAATCTCTGGGTAAATATACGTCCACATTTAAATTGAAAATGTTGAAAGAATAATGGACACAATTTTTTTCCTTCTTCAGTAATATTCAGTTTTAGAATATCAAGTTTCCATTAGTGCAGACCCTAAATGAGAAATATGTCAGCAATGTCACAATCACATGTGCCTACTGTATATTTAAATAAATTCTGTCAGTATTTAATTCCCACCATACAGCTTTCAATCATACAAGTTTTCCAGTTTTCACTCCCTTCCTCAGACAATCAGACTTCATGTAAAAAAAAAATTGTGTATACAAAATATTCTTCAGTAATGCATTCATCCATTTTTTTCTCATTTTATTACGGGTTAAAATAATTTCAGCTTGGGTCTCAATTCTTGGTCTTGCGCTGTACATGGCTTAAATGATTAACAATGCATTACTGGCTGTTTTGTGATATATGTACATTTAGCATTTTAAAATTGAATATATGGTAGGTTCACTACTTTTGTTCCTTATGCACGGATGACACAGTGATTGGCATTTTAATTCTTTTTACTCAGAATAACATACATAAAGAAAATTTTGAATTGAATTTTTGCAGTTTATTAACAATTTTGGTCAGATATTTGAAGATATGTTGCCTTCATTTTACAGAAATAGGCACATGGAACTTTTAACACTGGTTTATACAAATCTAAATAAATGATGTATCTTAAATTATGTTACTGAATTAAATTTATTATAGTGTTCAAGTGTAGTTTCATAACTCATTTTCAAGATAAATTTCATCTCATATTAAATTGTGAAGTCTAAAAAAAAAATAATTCGCAAAATAATATTTGATAGTGTTTTAAAAAAGTGTGCAGAGCTGACATTTTTGTGATTTTTTTACTAATCTCTCCTTCTTTGGTCATTGACTGCTGACAAGTTATCATTTTATTTAGATGTACACACAATGTGATTCAGAAGATAATTATTATGTTGTATGCTTCAGCTTTTACTCATTAATTTAAGGCATCATGAATAGTGGCTTTATGGTCAGATAAGTGCATGGCAATTATACAAAATTTAAAGTGCATTAAAGATACAGTTGAACTTCATTATCTTGAAACAATGATATTTAAATACCATGGATATGTCAAAGTAAGTTAGAAGTCCCAACCACCTTATGAATATAAACCTAAGTTTCTCAAATCCTCAGATGTGAAATTTTTTGCTCAACCCTATCAAGTTTGAAAAGTTTTACTGTATTTAACTTACATGTCTTACTTGGAGGATATTTAAGGAATGTTTTTAAGTTTTGTGTGAGTTATTGGTATGTAAATCACACAGACTTGTCACGTAGGCATATTTCATGAAGCACGCTAGCTCTTCATGAAAAATGTGCTACATGCAAGTCTGTGTGATTTACACACCAATAATTCACACTAAACTTAAAAACATTCCTTATGTTTACATTTTACATATTTAAAAGCACCAAAAATATACTTAATATTTGCTGCCCTATATCGTTACATTTTTATTAACATCTTTGTAGCTCATTGTGACGTCACTTTAGCGCGAGTTTCTCCGTGCATATTTCTACGCGTGAGTATACATGAAAATGGTATTCAAATCCATTTTACAGTTGACTTAGTAGAAAAACATAGCAAATGTAAATATTCCTATTTAATACATTTGAGGAATATTGTGAATCCATTCACTGATGGTTTTGAAATTTTTGCCCTTTTTTGAAAACTCATGTTTATCTTCCTCCTCAAAAAAAAACAGCTAAAATTTTACATTCTGATGGAATTTCTCAAGACTGAGACTTCTATGGTGTGACACCCCCCCCCCCCCTCTCATCCCTTGAACAAATTTTAATTATTAAAATAACTGTTGTAATTTTATACTCTATTATTTTACCTTTGTTATATCATCTATTCATGTTCAGATTTTTGTTTCCTCAGGATGATGTTTTTTGTTTTTTTTTCCGGTATTTTGGGTAAAATAACACTTAGGTGCTTATAGTTATGGACGTGTCTTCCTTTCTAATTAATTCTAATACATTCTGTTTCACTTTATGTTGTCTAAGTTTGCTATTAATATGAACAAATAGATGTAGAAATAAAAGTAAGCCTCTCCAATCTTACAGTATGCTGATTATATTATATAAACCTGTAGGAGAAAATAATAGTTTGTATGTGTACAGGTACACCTCCTACAAAAAGATTTTTGAAATCAAAAAATTATAAGATAAATTTCTACATTTATTTATTTTTTTGTCAGAGATATGTATTTCAAAGTCTGTGATTCTGAGATGACCATGAAAAATTTGTGAATGTTTGTCATGTATGTGATATAAAACACCAAGTTTTGTCAAATCCAAAACAAAAGAAATTAGTACATCAGTCTATGAATTCTATAACATTATATAACATTACTGCAGAATAGTATGTGTTATAACTTTTTTGTTTTAAATTAAGAATGAAATTGTACTGCAGAAATGAAAAGTTTTTTGTTAATTTAGATTATACATTCCTATGTGCAATATGTTATTGTTTAAAGATTAAACGATGGAATAAACATAACATGCTCCAGTTGTTTTCATTAGGTAGACTATGAATTGGTACTTTCAATGATATTGTGTCTATGTAAGTCACACAGCACTGTGACCTTTTTCTGCCCTCTGTAAATAAGTCACACATCACTGTGGCCTATTTCTGCCCTCTGTATGTAAGTTACACAGCATTGTGGCCTATTTCTGCCCTCTGTATGTAAGTCACACATCACTGTGGCCTATTTCTGCCCTCTGTATGTAAGTCACACAGCATTGTGGCCTATTTCTGCCCTCTGTATGTAAGTCACACAGCATTGTGGCCTATTTCTGCCCTCTGTATGTAAGTCACACAGCATTGTGGCCTATTTCTGCCCTCTGTATGTAAGTATGTAAGTCACACAGCATTGTGGCCTATTTCTGCCCTCTGTATGTAAGTCACACAGCATTGTGGCCTATTTCTGCCCTCTGTATGTAAGTATGTAAGTCACACAGCACTGTTGCCTATTTCTGCCCTCTGTATGTAAGTATGTAAGACACACAGCACTGCGGCCTATTTCTACCCTCTGTAAATAAGTCACACAGCACTGTGACCTTTTTCTGCCATCTGTATATAAGTCACACAGCACTGTGGCCTATTTATGCCCTCTGTAGATAAGTCACACAGCATTGTGACCTATTTCTGCCCTCTGTATGCAAGTCAAAGTTAATGTTTAAGAAAAATTGCAACTTATTCTGTCAACATGACAGGTAGCAGTGTTAATTTTGAACACACATTTGTAGAGTGGCGGTCAGTCGGGTTTGATTGCAGGTGGTCAGATAACTCAGCTAGTAGGGAACCAGACTAGTGATTCAGGGGGCCTGGATTTAAATCCTTGTGTGGTCCATTGCATTCTTGTTTATTGATTCAGGGGGCCCAGCTTTGAGTTCTGGTATGGTCCATTGCATTTTTCTCCTCATCACTTCAGTAAAAATATCATTCCTTCTGAAAAAGTTCTTAAACTGTGCCCAAATGAGATATATTTATTTGCTTAATATTGATACATATGGCACGCCAATTTCACAAAAATTAGCGAAACTTAGGGCGAATTTGTTGCGCTTAAACTGGTTCAAGTTTTGGTTTATAGTTTGAAACTAGTTTTCAAACTGGTTTCTAGTTTCAATCCGGTTTGCCTCGGTAAAACAAATGAACAGTTTAGACATAAAGATGGCGTCTAAAAGGCACAAACATGCCTGTGCTTGCATGATTATTAATTCTGCATTTTTAGAAAATGATAGCAACTTAGAAGATCATGAAGTTGGTCTATTGTCTCAACTCCAAATGCATACTTCAATGTGTTCTGCTCTTATGACCCTGATTCCTCAGCGTCGGATCAAAATTCCTCGAGCGCTTAACTATGTTGAGGAGATCATTCCAAAGTATACTGAGGAAGATTTTAGACGAAGGTTTCGAATGAGCCCAGGAACATTTTCATCTCTTTTAACAATTTTCTTAGAATTTAAAGAGAAAACAATTATACCAATGGAAAAACAGTTATTAATTTTCATACGCTATTTGACAACACAAATGACAATCCAAGCTATTGCTGACCAATTTGGAGTATGTGAATATACAGTCTTTGATATTGTAAAGCGCCTCGCAAACATTGTTTGCCGTGAACTTCTGCAGCAATGCATAAAATGGCCAGATGGTGAAAAAGTTTCCAACATTGTTAAAGGGTTTAAAGATTTAAAAAAAATTCCCTGCTGTAATTGGTGCCATTGACGGTAGTCACATACCTATAAAAACTCCAAATCATTGTCCAGAAAACTACATTAATCGAAAGTCATTTCCGTCTGTCATTCTTCAGGCCGTGTGTGATTCAAAAATGCATTTATTAGATGTTAACTGTGGTTGGCCGGGATCTGTGCATGACTCCCGAGTTTTTAAAAATTCAGAATTGTACCAAAGGATTCAGAAAGACCCAGAGGGGATGTTTCCCAACAATACACACCTTTTGGGGGACTCTGCTTATGGTCTTGAAATGTGGATGATGACTCCCTACAGGGACCGTGGAAATCTAACACAAAGTCAGTATCAGTACAACTATATTCACAGCAGTACTAGGATGGTAATTGAACGCACTTTTGGGGCCATAAAAGGAAGATTTCGCCGCTTGAAATTTGTAGACATTCAGGACATTGAAAAAATTGTAAAAGTAGTGATTAGTTGCTGTGTATTGCACGAATTTTGTCTACAGCATGACGATGATTGTGTAGAGTATATAGAGGAGGGAGGAGAGGATGAAGTCAACAACTTTGTGCAAATTTTATGTGTAAATAATGCTGCAGGAGAAAAGAGGGATAGTATTGCAAGAATGTTATAATATTTTTCCTGTTCATATACAACGTAGGCACCTTGTTATGAACAGAAAAACATATCTAAATTACACATGCATGAGAAACTGAAACTCCTTTCTTAATAAAGAATCCAAAAAAAGTTTATTTGTTCATTGTTAATCTTACTTAAAATGAAGTATTTATATTAATGCATCAAATATTCATCAATGATCAAATTCTGAATTTTTTTTTCAACACAGTGGAAAGATAAAAACTCAGGTATATTAAATTTTATTGTAACACAAAAATAAATCAAAGACAGAGGATACCTTCCTCAAAATAATGCGGTCTTGAAGCTAGTGCTCCCCTTCTATTATACTCAAAGGCTTATATAAATAATTTTACAAAACATTCTGATACATGTATACTGTATACATCATGATTTATGAATGGATGACTACTAGTAATCACATTGTAATAATTTAAAACAATTGGTTTATCATAGGTCCACACAGGTAAATGTACTTTAGATTTCCATCATTCAAACCAACTCTACAGTGTGTTTAATAATTTACCTTACAATACATGTTAACTATTTTTCTAATGATTCTAAAACTAATAACCAAATTAACCAAAACTCATTTTTGAAAAGAAAACTTTTAATATTTTGATTTCTGACCACTATTATGAACAAATTCAAATTATTTATCTATTCTCTAAAGCCTTATAAAATACATGCATCAAACAGTGGAATTAAAGGCCAAAGAATTATTTCTCCTTGAAGAACAAAACAATTTTCAAATATTTAAAACTTTTTAAAAATAGTCTCCATACTTTTCATTTTCAAATTTAAGAAAAAAGCTTTCTTTATAATAATCATCTAGGTTCTACAGAAGATAAAAAATATTTAAATCAAAAGAAAGTCAACAGTGACAACAGCCAAGACCAGACAAACTTGATAGTAAAAGCTTACTTAAGTCTTTACTTAATATACCACAATAGGAACTTCAACAATGAAATAATCTTATCTGATAATGACAAGGCATGAAAAATTGACTAATGGTCATATCAGGCTATACATTCTCCTGTCAACTACAAACCAGTCCGCTAACTTGCCAGAAATTACCGTTAAGTAATCTTTCTTACACTAAAAGATAACATAATAGTTACTACTGTTACTATTTTTTCATGGCTTCAACCAACTGAGCCATTATTTCAAGTTTTTTTTCTTCATTTTCCATTTTCTTCTGATGTTGTTCCTTCAGTGTCTTCATCATCTCCTTGTGTTCTTTTCTCATGTCATCCAAGATTTCTACTATTTCACTTGCCTGCTTACTCTTCTTTCTTTTGGGGGTCACATCACAGTCACTTGAAGTTGACTCTGCCTTTGATTCTTCGTTATCGGTTTCATCCTCCTTGCGTGTTCCTAGAGTGAATACGGGTTTAACATTCGGTTCATACCCATAACAGTCTTCTAGTTCTTTATAAAATGGACATTCTTTCCGTTCATTGCCTGATTTTGAGTTGTGATCAACGCAATCTCTATATGCTTTTGTAAGATTTTTCCATTTCTGTTCACATTGATTCACTGTGAAAGAGAGACCCCTGTTGTGCATTTCAGAACAAATTATCTTCCAAACTTCCTTCTTTTTCATAGAGGGTTTTGTGAATTTGGCAGAATGCATGGTGTGTAATTCTATTAGATGACTGGTTGCAACTTTAGACCATGATGAAATATTGCTGTTACTTGATGAATTATTGCTGGTACTTGATGAATTATTGCTGGTACTATTGCTGGTACTTGATGAATTATTGCTGGTACTTGATGAATTATTGCTGGTACTTGGTACATCAGACCATGATGAATTATTGCTGGTATTTGGTACATCTGTTTTACTTTCATCTGCAAATAATTTGGAAAAAAATCATGACTGGTATATTATGTACATATTCTGTTCAAAGCATATTAAGTAGTATTCAAGCATGGGGATAGCAAATATTGGGCTTGACATGTAAATGGGTAAATATACAATGTACAAACTCAGCATTTTATGATTTTGTGATGATCATTTTATGATGTTTCACTTTGAATTAAAAATATAGATATATTATATAATTAGAGACATAAATTTTTCACCAGTTGTTTCAGTGCTTTCATTGGCCTCAGAGTATCTTGAAGATTTGCAGCATATAACTTCGTCAAATCTACACCAATCAGTAAGGAGATTGACCACCCATGGTTTTGTATTTCGTACAAATTCTTTTCCAAAAACAGACAAATTTTCTTTAACTTTTGGGTAAATTGGTTTGGTTTTGTTGAAAACCATAACTGCCTTATCATCATTCCCTTGGTCTTTCTCTCTAAAGTTATTGGCTTCAGTTTCATTTTCAAACACATATGTGTTAAGAAATTCTTCTGAAATTAACGTATGATATTTTTTGACACCAACTCTTTCACTTGAACTACATTGTTGTTGGTAGAGCCTATGAAAAAGGTATATAATAATAGTAAAGCAAATATAAATGATACTGCTCAAATCAATGAATCTTTGTGAGAAATGTTCAGAAATTTAACATTAAAAACTAAAATTCTCTGTCAGTAAATGAAAATTGTCAACGTAAAGATATATTTGTTGACAGACCATATCACTATAAGTATAATTATTACTGTTCATCAGTTATACTGTAACTAGAATTTCCTCTATCCCATACAAATGCTGGTTTCTTTGGATTTTATAACTGAAAGATGTTTTATTAACAAGAAAATCCTTTTGTTACATTCAAATCAAATAAATGCAGAATCAATTATCTTACAAAAATGTTTTTCAAACTCCGGAATTACTTCCGTTTCAAAAGAGCAGACAGCACATTTCAGCAATATTGCAGACGCTGTCGCCATGCTGGAAAAGCTTCCCGCTATTTCGTAAACCGAATAAACCACCATCGGAGGTGGTTTGGTTGGTTCAAGGAACTGGTTTCGGTTACAGCAAAAACAAATGGAAAACCGGTTCTGGGTTGAAACTAGTTTAAAACCAGTTTGAGGAACAAATGAACGGTTAACCAAACTGGTTCGAAACTAAAACCAGTTTTTGAGAAACAAATTCGCCCTTAGTTTCACAGTTGATAAACTAGGTTTATCGACTGTAAACTATAGTTTACAAACCGTGAACTATAGTTAACGATTCGTTAACTATAGTTTTCATCTGTAAAACTATATTTAACGGTTGTTAACTATAGTTTACGAATGCTAATCTAAGTTTATCTGTCTGTAATTAAACGTTAACAATAGATTTTGTTGATAAACATATATTCACATCTGTAAACTATAATTTACAATCGTGAACTATAGTTAAGAGTTGTTAATCATAGTTTCACAAATCGTGAAACCATATTTATCAGATAAACTATGTTTTACATTCGTTAACCATAGATTTCGGTTGTAAACTATAGTTAACTGTCATTTATACTCACAAACTATATTTAACAGACGTAAACTATACTTATCGATCGTAAACTATAGTTTTGAGAGCTAAACTATGATTCACATTTGCCAATCATAGTTTATCGTAATAAACTATAATTCACACTCGTAAACTATAGTTAAGAGTTATTAAATATAGTTTATGAATCTAAACACCTGTTAACTGTGAACGATAGTTTTCAATTCGAAATTTCGCGGCACCAATCGCGAGAAGCAATAATGGGGTATAGGTTTTATCAGTGCGGAGAATATTAAGGACACGTGTTGGGCATTATCTAAAGCAAAGACCGAGTTATATATAATCAATATTACTTTCTCTATTTAAACAGGATTAATTGTATTTGTTTTAAAATGTCGTGTATATATACATTTCCTATGGGGAAATTTTTAGAAATATGATAAAATTTTAATTTTTTAAAAGACAGAATATTACGAGATTTTTGCTCAAGCAGAGGAGGGTGAAGCGCGTTTTACAATGTGCCAAGCATTTTCCCGCCACATCTCATCACCAAAAGAGAGGAAATGCAGTGGCGGATATAGATAGGGTTGTGGGGGTTTCAACGTCCTCCTTTGAATTTAAGAGAGAGAGAATGAGAGAGAAGTCCCAAATATTTGTTGTGTTTGTTCCGTGAAAGGCTACTTTTATTTATGTATGAAGAAAATTCGGTTGTTGAAAAATAAATTCCGCGCCTGCAGTGTTACATGTACTGTGTTATGTCTTTATTTACAGATGAATGTAAGATATACATGTATTTTATTAATGACAGATCACGCATTTCGGTCTCTATTTTTCTCTTTTAAATCAAAAAAAATAAAATTTTAATCAATAATTTTCCAGTCATTTTTCTTTTTATTTCCAACTAGATTTGCTTTAAAATAATAGAACATTTACTTATAACGCCAACAAGAAATATACATGCATATATATTTAACAACATTTGTCGTAACATAGCAAAATCTTATAATGCTGTAACTAGGATTAGCCGATCTATAATTTACAAAAAAAAAAAAAAAAACTATTGTTAACTATGGTTTTGATCGTAAACTATGGTTTAGAGTCGTGAAATCTAGTTTCACAGAAAATTGTGCATCTCCGATACAAAATAAGAGATTCTGTTCCTAAACTGTGTTTCTCAAGTGTAAAACTATGTTTATCGCATTTTTGTGAATTTGGCGCTTTGTATGTCTGTAAAGTATACTTTACAAAGCCTAAACTATAATTTACATTTGTTAAGTATAGTTTAGAGGTGTAAATCATAGTTTACAAATCGCGAAACTATATTTATCAGATAAACTATATTTTGCAGTAGCAAATGATTGTTTTCCGTGTTAATTATAGTTTACGCTTGTGAAACATAGATTATCGTGTAAACTATATAGTTTACATATGTGAAATATAGATTATCATCGTTAACTATAGTTTACGGTCTGTAAACTATAGTTTACAGTCGATAAACCTAGTTTATCAACTGTGAAACTATGATTAGCTCATTTTTGTGAATTTGGCGTGCCATAGATACATGTACATGTGTATGTCAACATGCAAGATGCAATGTGATGATAAAAAACATGCAACTTTTGCACATTGACAGGCATAATCATAATTCTGTTCACATACAATTTTTGTTCATTTATGCCTGTATGCAGATTTGTGATATGAAGTGAAGGATTCTGAAATATAATTCTAATACTGGGAAACTTGAAGCAAAGACATGCTTTTTATTTCTAGCTCACTTCAATCAAGTCGAGATGAGCTTATGTTGTACATGAACCCCTGGCATGGGCGTACAAGTCTGATCACACTTTGAAGGATGATGCTTCTAGTGATGCACAATACCAGACTTGTTTTGGATGCTGGATTTGACCTATATTTTTGGATGGGTGACCAGGGTTTTGGAGCAGGTTTATTTAGGGAATGTTTTTAAGTTTTGTTTGACTAGTGCTTCATGGAAAATATGCCTACATGCAAGTCTGTGTGATTTACACATAAATAATTCACACTAAACTTAAAAACATTCCTTATATTTACATTTTACATGTTCAAAAGCACCAAATGAATACTCAATGTTTGAATTATTCTTTGCCCTATATCGTTACATTTTTATTAGCGTGTCTGTAGCTCATTGTGACGTCACTTTAGCACGAGTTTCTACGTGCATATTTCTACGCGTGACTGAGTATACAAGAAAATGGCATTCAAATCAATTTTGGCTTAGTAGAAAAACAGAGCAAATGTAAATATTCCAGTTTATTTAAAGCCCTTCATAGAGCAAACTTGCATTGATGATACATCTAGGGATGCACACTACTAAACTTGCTTCAGATGCTGGAACTGACCTATGCTCTCTGGATGATTGTCCAGGTTTAAGCTTTTTGAGCAGTTCCATTCCCAAGTGACTATAAGGCCTACCTTGACCAAACATGTATCATACTATGGATGATGATGCATCAAGGGATGCACACTAATGGACTTGCTTTGTATGCTAGCCAGTTTTGTTTTTTAGGACAAGTCCATTCCCAAGTAACTGCCAGCCCTACCTGGACCAAAATTGCATAAATGTTGCATCTAGGGATGCACACTACTAGATCATTAATTTTTGTGGGACTTCGCCTTACTTATAAAAGATAACATTTGTTGAGGTGAGCACTGTAATCTTTGATTATCTATGTTTTTGTATGAGTGACTAGGTTAAAGTTTTTGTAGCAGGTCTGTTCTCAAGTAACTACATTGTAAAAATCCTTTGGTGTCCAAACTTGCATGGATGATGTATCTACTAGGGATGCATACTACCAGACATGCTTTGCATCCTGGATCTGACCCACATTTCCAGATAATGTTTATGGAGCAGGCCCATTCATATTATCTAGAAAGCCTACTTGCATGAATGATGCATCATACTACCAGACATGCTTCAGGTGCAGGATATGATTTTCTTGGATGATCAGGTCCATTCCCAAGAACTATAAATCCTACTCGCACCAGGTTTATTACATGATTGAATAAATCCTAACTCTCTGATTGGCAGAGATCTAACACTGTAGAAATCATACTAAGTTATGTTCACCTGCAGGAGGCCTTCTAAGTTAACATAAACATTTATTTTTTCTACATGGACTAAAAATATATTGAGCTAACTCATCATATTGCCATCAAAAATAGCACCTGAATATCAGGTTCTGGTGAAATATCAATCTGGAAGATATTGATTTAATTTTTAGCTCATGTAGAAAAAATAAAAGTTAATGTTCAACCATACATAAATTTCCGACCATAAATAATCTCATTACACCTTCCAAATTCTATAACCCATCATTAACGTACGGTTGAACTTAGGTATCTCAAATACCATGAATATGTCGATACCAATCACTTTTTCTTTATGTACTTATACCTCAATATCTCCAACCCTCTTGATATCTTGAAGTTTTTCTCTATGTCATCAAGTTCAAGATGAGGTTTAATTGTATATGCATATTTTAAACTCAACAATAAGAAATAATTTTTTTTATAGTAGTATTTTTTTATTTAAAACAAAGTCTTGCATCAAAAAAATGTATAAAATTTTT